CGCTACGCGGCCCTGTCCCTCTCCGAGAGCTCCATCCTCGAGCGGGTGCACGCCGACGGCAGCCGCGGGCCCCCAGGCCGCTCCTGGTACGTCACGCCGGAGATCACCATCACCGACAACGACATCCGCGCCGACGGGCTGGGCCGGAGCGAGAGGCGCTCGGCCAGCTGGGACATGCTGGACGCGGGGCGGGAGTGCAGGCCCTACGCCGTGCCCTGTGCCCCGCAGCCCAGCGCCAGGGAGAGTGGCTCGGGGCGCCAGCGCAGCCTGGAGCAGCTGGACGAACTCATCACCGACCTTGTCATTGACTACAAGCCGGCGCCGGGCCACCGCTCCGGGGACAGGGACAGCCTCGCGGAGCAGCTCAAGCAGCTGCTGAGCAGTAACGCCTCGGGGCCCCCCCGGCGCGGCGAGGGCAGGCGGGTCTCTCACAACGTGCCCGAGGGACCCCGACCCACAAAGGAGCAGCCGGGCCCCAGCTCCCACGCTGGCACCCCGCGCCGCCCACCGGCCACCGGCCCCTTCGAAAAGTCACCGGAGAACTGCTCGCCCGACCTGAGCGCTGAGGAGGACGACATGATGATGTGCTCCAATGCCAAGTGCCGGCGCACAGAGACCATGTTCAACGCCTGCCTCTACTTCAAATCGTGCCACAGCTGCTACACCTACTACTGCTCCCGGCACTGCCGGCGCGAGGACTGGGACACGCACAAGGCCAGCTGCGTCTACGGGCGGGTGGGCAGCGTCTGCCGCCACGTCCTGCAGTTCTGCCGCGAGAACACCGAGGTGCACAAGGCTTTCTCACGCATCGCCAAGGTGGGATACCTCTCCCGTGGCCGTGGCGTCCTCTTCCTGGGCTTCCCCAATGCGGGCTCCGCCGAGAACTTTCTCCAGTTTGGGCTGGAGAGCCTGCTGATGTCCCCCACGTACCTGTCCCTGCGGGAGCTGGATAGCTACTCGGACAACCTGGGGGAGTATGCCCAGGAGCTGCGGGAGACAGGCAGCCAGTACGACCCCAACGAATGTTTCCTCCTGAATGTAACCGTGGCCGTCACTCAGAAAGTGCCAGAGAGGCCGTCACCGAAGATGCAGGTGCCGACGGTCAGGAAATATGCCAAGGTGGCCTTAGCCTCCTCCAGCCCTGAGAAGAAGATCTTGAAGAAGGAGCGGGACATGGAAACGTTGATCCTGACGCCACCGCCCGGCACGGCGGACATCGACAAGGAGGGGGAGGAGGGCCGGAAGGCACGGGAGGTCTGCTTCATCAACATCCAGCGGGAGCTGCGCATCCGCGGCGTCTTCCTGCGGCACGAGTTCCCCGCTGTCTACGAGCAGCTCTGCGACTTCGTGGAGAGCAACAAGCGCTTCACCCCCACCACCATCTACCCCATCGACAAGAGGACGGGCAAACAGTTCATGTGCATGATTATGGCGGCCTCCGAGCCTCGCACCCTCGACTGGGTGGCCAGCCCCAACCTCCTGGACGACATCATGTGAACGCAGGGCGGGGGCACCCCGTCTGTAGATACGTGCTGTCCTGTCAGAACCCCCTCGGCTATTACACCAAGGGGAGGGGGCTGCGGGCAGCCGGCAGTGCTGGGGGGACGGAGGGGTGACGGGAGCACAGCCCGAGGTTTGCCCTGGAGCCCAGAGCCTGGCGAGCCCCTGCAGAGCCCTCTCGGGTGAGCGGTGCCTGGCCAGAGCAGGGGCGCGCCGCACCCCCCAGCCCCTGCCCACCGGGCTGCCACGACCCAGAGCTCCTCGGGCCTGCCCCAGGGTCCCCTCAGCACCGGGGGTCCCGCAGCGGCCGCACCCAGCGCCTGGGACTGGGCTGCACCAGGACCGTGTCCCACCGTGTCTGTGCAGCCTGTGCGTGTTACTGCGGGAGCCTCAGGTGCTGGGGGGCCCTGGGATCCCACGCGGGCTCTGGGCACAGGGCGGGGCACGGCTGGGGGGCCCCTGGACGCTGCCGGGGGAGGGGGGGAGCGACCGCGGTGAGGGATCCGCGGGGGGGGCGGGGGGGCTCTGACCGGGGTCGGGCGTAATCGCCAGTGAAGGGTGACCGTGGCGGGGATCAGGGAAGGCGAGGCAGAGCCGGGGTCGTGGCCAAGGCCCGTCACCCAGGGCGCCCGCGCCGCCCTGCCCGGCCCTGCTCCCCGCTGTGGATCCCACCGCCGGCACCGGCACCGGCACCGGCACCAACCTCCACCGCCACAGCCGCTGCCCGGCGGGACCCCGCGCCAGCTGTGGGCGGGGCCTGGCTCCGCGAGCGCTGCTTGAACGCCGGGAGGGGGAGGCGGGAACACGGGCAGGGGCCGGGTGCTGGTTGGACGCTGGACGAAGGAGGCGGGAACACGGGCAGGAGCCGGGTGCTGGTTGGACGCTGGGCGGAGGAGGCGGGAACACGGGCAGGGGCCGGGTGCTGGTTGGACGCTGGGCGGAGGAGGCGGGAACACGGGCAGAGGGCGGGCGCTGGTTGGACGCTGGGCGGAGGAGGCGGGCGCGGCGCGCGGCGGCAGCGATGGCGGGCGCGGCGCTGTCGCGGGTGCCGGACGTGCAGATCGATGGCGATGGTGTCTTCAAGTACGTGCTGGTCCGGGTGCGCGAGGCCGGCGCGCCCCCCAAGGACGTCGTGCGAGGCCACGGCTGGGCCGAGTACCACGGTGAGGGGCGCCGGGAGTGCGGGGCTGTGGCCCAGGGTGCCGATGGAAGGGGCCGCGGGCCCCGGGGGCGGGCGGGGGTTTGCCCGTCACGGGGCGGCGGCTGAGGCGGGGGTCCCCGCGCCACCCCCGCTCCCTCCCTGCAGCCGACTTGTTCGAGCGCACCGCGGAGGAGCTGGCGCGGCACGGCCTGAGCTGCGAGTGCCTCGGCGGCGGCCGCCTGTCCCACCGCCCCGAGGAGAGGAAGATCCACGTCTACGGGTACTCGGTGGTAAGCGCAAGCCGGGGGGGCCCACGCGTGGACGCGGCATCTCCCTTCGCGGTGTGGGTCCCACTGGCGGCGGCCGAGGCGGCATCGCATCCCCTCGGGGGTGGAAGGGGTGAGCGGGGCGGCGCTCCCGGGCGTTCTCCCGAGTGCCCGAGGGAGGGGAGACTTCGCAGGGCCCTTTCGGGTGAACAGTGCTTGGCCAAAGCAGGGTCACCCCATGAAGCCCCCAGCAGCTGCCTGTGGGGCTGCCACACACCCAGAGTCCCCGGAGGTCCCATGGGTACAGTGGCTGTACCCAGCGCTGGGTGCTGCCAGGGGCAATTGGGCTGCACAAGAACCCTGTCTCCACTTTGTGTGTCCTGAGGGTGTTCCTGCAGGAGTGTCAGGTGCTGTAGGGGCCTTGTAAGGGTGACTGGAGGTACCCTCGGGGACATCACTGTCATGGTGGGTCCCTGGATGCTGATCCCATCCCAGTGCTGTGCTGCAGCGCCTGCTGTACTGGGTGTTGAGTGCAGAGCCCAGCTGGGACCAGGGCAGGGTGGTGGTCCCTGGGCGCGTAGCTTTCCCAGCCTCAGGGTGGCACTGTCCTCTTGCTGCGTGCAACACCAGCAGCAGTTGGAGTCAGGAGGGGCTGGCACAGGCTCTGTGGCCTCTCTGCTGCTGGGGTCTGCCAGAGCTGCCCTGGGGATTTGCCAGGCTTCCTTGCAAGTTCCCACCAGCTCTCCTTGGGAACCCTCTTTTCCTATGCAGGGCTTTGGACGAGCTGACCACGCTGTGACCACAGAGAAGCTGAAGGCTGAGTACCCCGACTATGAGATCACCTGGGCAGATGAAGGGTACTGACTCCTCTGTCTGTGGTGCCAGCCGAGAACTGGCACAGCTGTACGCAGCACCAGGGTGGTGGCAGCAGGCTCCCCATGCTCGGCCGTGCTCCAGGCTCTCCTGATTTTCCTCTGTGTTGGACTCCCCCATTCTCCGCTATCACCGGACTGTCCCCGTGCCAGGTGCTCCCACCTCCCTGGCATGGCAAAGCTGGTGAAGCCAGTGGTTGCTCTGCCCCAGCCTCCTGGTGCCAGAGGCTCATCCACGTGTATCTGTGAGAATTAAAGTCGTCAGAGGAGCACAGCTGCTCACGGCTCGGCTGCTCCTTCCCAGCTCCAGGTTGTGCCTGTTGACAGTGGAAGGGACCCCCCCAGGTTATCCGCCCCTTGAGGGGGGCCTGGCCTAGGAGCCTGGCATGGGAGCAGGCAGAGTCTGGGGTGGGAACAGCAGGAAGTGTATCGGGATTTGTCTTGGAAAGGGTTGAGGCAGGAGAGAGGAAAGCAATGCCCAGGCCTGGGAGAGGGAAAGGCAGGATGGACCTGGGGGAGAGACCAGCCCCATCTCCTGCGGGGAGGAAACTGAGCTACCTGGGAACATGATTGGGAAGAATATGGCCATTGTCCCTCTGGCACGTGGTCACACCTTGAGGAAGAGCATCCATCCTCCCTGACTTCATCCCTCCAGCCACCCAGGACCACCTCAGAATTTCCCAGGGATTCTCCCTGCTTGTGCTTTCAAGTGAGGAGCAGTAGAGGGAGACTGGGAGAAGCTGCTGGAGGCTTCAGTGCCTGGAGAACGCCAGGGAGATGTGTAGGCTGGGTTGGTTCAGTCGCTGTCCTACGTGAGGCTGGGGCTGGAGGATTCTCCCAACCCAGTCCCAGCCCCATTTCATTGTCAGACTCACCGTGCATGCTCCCTGCTGCTGCCTCTGCCTCTTGCCTTCAGGGATGTGGGCTCCTTCCTCTGTGTCCAGAGGCATGCAGGGTCAGCTCAACCTGCAGAAGCTCAACCTGTGCCCAAACTCCAAAGGAAGCTCACAGTAGGGGGATGAGTTTCACAGGCAAAAACATGGCTCTGCTGTGCCTCATCCTCCATCCTGCAAGGTGTGACTCTCCCCTGTGCTGGGGGGAATGTTATCCAGAAGTCACACAGTCAGCTGCAAACCTGCAAGTCACTGGGTTGTGGAGCTTGGAGGCACCTCTGGGATGTCCTGTCCATCCACTGGCCTAGCTTCCCCACCACCTAGTTGGTCCATCGTGGTGGGATTGCTGAGATGTGCTGTGCAGACTCAGGAATTGAATTCGACAGTCCTTGTGGGTCCCTTCCAACATAGGGAGTTCCATGATTCTGGTCTAGAATTAGGCTGTGGGAAGCTGTGACCAGGTGGGGTTTGAGAATCTCCCCAACTTCCCAGCAGCTTGGGAGTCTGCTCTCGTTTTACCAGCCCTCACAGGAAAAAAAAAAAAGGTTTTTCTTTTAAGTGACATTTGCTGTTCTTGCTTTGTTCTTGTCTCAGTCCTTACTGGGACACTCCCTGCTCGAAGGGTTGGCTCCCTGCACCCTCCTGCCAGGGCTTACCTGGGTGCCATCCCCCTACACCTTCTCCTACACCTCTCCTTGTGGGAGGTGCAGTCCCCTCATCATCATCAGGGAATATCCTTCTGTGGAGATACTCAAAAATCATCTGGACACATCTTCCAGGGAGCCCTTGTGGAGCAGAGGGGTGGGATGAGGTGACCTCCTGTCATGCCTTCCATTCTGTGCTATACTGTGATCATCATCACTTGATCTGTTCCAGTATGTCCACATCTCGTACTGGGAGCACCAGCATCCCTAGTGCACAGGGGAGGGGTCAGATCTGTGAGAGAGGCGTTGCCCGTGGCACCCAGGAGGCCAGTGGCTACTGTGCCAGTGGCCAGCTTGGTGCTGCCAAGGTTCCTGGGCAGGGCTCCTGCCCTCCAGCATGCCTGGACTGGATGATGTGGGACTGCTGGTCGTCACTGGGCCTGGCTGGCACTGGGGGAAGGAGCTGAGCCTGTGTTTTACTGCCCCTGATGCAATCCCGCTGCAATCTGCCTTCCAAGGCCGTTGGCTCAGTGGAAGGATCTGCTCGATGGGGCCCCTCTCAGGGGACTGTGGCAGCAGAGGGGAGAGGGGTCCTGTGGGGTAGCAGGCTCTTCTTCCTCTGCCCAGGTAGGGAAACCAGTGGGGTCAGTAGTTGCCATCGCCAGGCAACACTGGTGGTGATCTGTGGGCTCTGGCTGCCAAGCTGTGCTTCTTCCAGGCTCAGCCCTTGCTGGGGCTCTGCCAGGAATGTTTTGCCCCAGGACTGACCTGGCTGTGACCCTGGAGCTGTGCCCCTTCACCCCTCGGCATTCATGAGCTGGGTGCTGAGATGCTCCTGCCAGCTGGAGCGGAGCAGGTAGGGTGAAGGCTGGCTCCTCCTGATAGCATCTTGGGATCCTCAGGCTCCAGGGGGACCTCAGAGCCCCTTCCAGTGCCTAAAGGGGCTCCAGGAGAGCTGAAGAGGGACTAGGGACAAGAGCTTGGAGTGACAAGACAAGAGGGAATGACTTCCCACTGCCAGAGCGCAGAGTGAGATGGAATATTGGAGATACAGCTGACTCCCAGCTCAGCTGTTCTCGCTGGCCAGAGTGCAGCCCACTGCCAACCCTGCACCCAAAGTCTCCCACTCTCCTTATGCACAGGGACTGGCAGAGCCCCCATATCCCTGGCAGAGGTGCCAGCTTCCCCACAGGGCTGGCAGCATCTCTGGCTCTGCAGGAAGTGTCCTCATCCCACAGCAAGCCAACACATTCCACTGGGCTGTGCCCCATCCCAGTCAGTGTCACCCACCGTCTTGTTCTGCGTGGAAAACGGGCTGAAGAAGAGAGGTTCAGTGGGGAAACGCCGAAGGTCTCCATGGGGCACCCGGCTCCAGCTGCTGCTGAGGTGCCGGCAGTGCTGCTGACAGGATCGCGCTGCCTGTCCCAGTCAGGACAGCCTGGCCATAAACCCACTGCCTGGCCAGGGGGCTGATAACAGCGGGGCCGAAGTCCAACGCAGGCAGCTCCAGGGGAGCACATTCCAGCCCGGGGCTCCCAGTGTGGCCTCTTCCAGCTCCGTTTTACCGTGGCGGTGGCCGGGATGGCTGCAGGCAGGCAGGCGATGCTGGCCCTCCTGATGCTGCTGGGTGAGCTCTGCCGACACGGGCGGGGGTTGTGTCGCTGGAGGGAAGGGACCTCTGTGCTGGCTGCTCCACTCTGGTCCTCCACAGCAGTTTGCCCCAGCACTGGGCCACCCACTGGGCTCTGTTGCTGAATTCAGCCCGGAGTTCCCAGGGTGAGAGGGTGCTGGAGCCCTCAGCACCGGGATGGGGGTCACCAGTGGCTTTGTTCAGCGTGGGACAGAAAACGTCCAGATATTCCTGTTTCTTCCAAAAAGGGGGCTGGGACTCGAAGCACGGGTGTGATATAGCAGAGTCAGTGCCCCGGCAGGCTCTGGCACCCCAAGGCTGACGGTGGGAGGTGGCAGTGTGAGATGTGGAGTGCCAGGACAGTGACAGGGAGGTCGTCCAGGCAAAGATGCTGCTGAGAGCTCAGGACCTTCCCCAGCAGGGTCCCAAACCGAGGTGCCCAGGCAAATGTCACCTGCAGGTCATGCATGCCCTCCATCTCCTGCTGCGGGCACCGTGCTTAGTTCCCTGTGGGTTTTCAGCCCCATTGTCTCTCTCATAGCCAGAACCGTCCTCCCCAGTGGATCCGTGGTTGTCAACAGCTGCAGCAGCGCAGCTGAGCAGCTCTGCAACTTCGTCTGTGACTGCAGTGACTGCTCGGATGAAAACCAGTGTGGTGGGTGCTAAGACTCCCCAGACCCCCAGACACACCCTCAGACCCTGCTCCTGGGGTGGAGAGCAAGCTATGTAGTGGGGGGTGTTGTGGGTACAGGTCCCTGGGGTGGTGCTGGTGCCCAGGATGAATGCAGGGTCCCCCAGGATTGGTACAGTACCCTGGGGTGGGTGCAGATCCACAGGGTAGGGGCAGGTCCCTCGTGCAGGTGTTCAGGGTGAACACAGGTTGCCTGGGTGGAGGTGAGTCTGCCAGGTGGGTGCAGGATCCCAGGCTGTGTGCAGGTCCCCTAGGCTGGCCACAGGTCCCTGGGGTAGGTACAGGTCCCCTCGGTAGATGCAGCCGCCTGGGATGGGTGCAGTTCCCTGGGGTGGGCACAAACCTGCCTTGACCCCCATCTGCCCACCTTCAGGGTACCTATGGGGCTCAGCAGTGCTGGGCACCCCCTTCACCTGTGACTTCGAGGACAGTGACTGTGGCTGGCAGGATGTGGGCACCTCGACGTATGGATGGGTGCGAGGCCGGGCCAGCCTGGCCATGTGGGGCATGGGGCCTCATTCAGACCACACCGTGGGCACTGACCTGGGTAAGTGGGATCTGCTTGGTGAGCAGGCTCTGGCCACCCACAGCACCACTCCACTGGAGTCGGGGTGCCAGAACACCTATCTTTGTAGGGTGCAGGGGAGGGAGCACACCCGTGGAGGGGTAGGAGTAGTGCTGGCACAGGTCTGGTGCCACCCCACGGGGCTGCAGCCCCCGCTCTGCTTTCTGCCCTCTCCAGGTTGGTTCTTGGTGACCATGTCCCCCCCAGCAAAGACCGCGGCCACAGCCTGGCTCAGGTCACCAGAGATGCGGGAAGCAGCTGCCACGTGTGAGATCAGAACCTGGTATCACCTCTCAGGGAGCTGTGAGAGCACCCAAGGTGGGCACAGGCAGCATCGGCTACTGGGCAGTGAGTAGGAATGGGGCCATCTGCATGGGAGGCAGTGGGGAGGAATGTGGCCCCATTCCTACTCACTGGGCAGTGAGTAGGAATGGGGCCACAGGCATGGGAGGCAGTGGGGAGGAATGGGGCCATCTGCTCCTGTGGCAGGAACAGAACCACCTTGAGATGGGTCCTTGCCATCCTGTTTGCTCTTCCACGCTCCACACACAGAGCTGGTGGGACCTGTGGGTCCCAGTTCCAGCCCACAGAGCTGGCAGGGCTCCATTCGTTCCTTTGGGTACCCCAGGCTGCCCTGTACCAAGGGCACTTTTGGGGCTTCCCTCAGGGCTGAACCAGACAGAGCGGCCGGTGCTGCGCCTGGCTGTGGCACACAAGGATGAGGTGGTGGAGCTGTGGCAGAGCCCTGAGCGCAGCAGTGAGGGCTGGCACCAGCTGGTTGCCTACCCCGGACGGATCGTGGAGCAGTTCCAGGTGAGACAGTGTTGGTACCTTGGTACCCGGGCACTGTCCCCATAAACTGGGATCAGAGGAGCTGGGCAATGTTCTGAGACCTGGCTTGGGCAGCTCATGCCATCCTCATCCTCCCATCACAGCTCATCTTCTCTCTGACACAACCACCCACCTGCAGGGCAGAGGTGGCACTTGATGACATCATGTTCAGGAACTGTGGCTTACCAGGTGAGTCCCACATTTGCTGGATTGTGAGCTGGGATCTTTGGGAAGGGGGTGGGGTGCAAAACCCAGGGGAGCTCTCCCATCGCTCGGTGCTCCCAAATTGTCTTGGGGCACCACGGCCTGGCCAGCATGAGGTGGGCAGTGAAAACCTGTCCCTTGAGCCACCCCAAGGAATGACGTGGCAGTGCACACCATGTCCCTGTGGGAGCAGCCACTGGCTGACATGTGTCCCCCCACCCCAGAGGCTGGGCAGCAGGCCTGCGGGGCCCAGGAGAGCCGCTGCCACCGTGGCTCCTGCCTGGCACAGCGTCGTTTCTGCGACGGCACCGACGACTGCGGGGACAACTCGGACGAGGGCGCGGCGCAGTGCAGTGAGCATCCCCCGGCCCCGGGGAGGAGTCCTGCAGAGGGGCTGAGGGTCTGCCTTGGTGGGGCAAAGCTGTGCTCTGGGCTGCCAGGGGCCCAGCCAGTTCTGCCCCTCGCCAGGAGGGCAAAATGACCCTGAGGTTTTGCAGAGGGGTGGCATCAGCCTGTCCAAGGGAGGGCTGGGACCCGTCCAAGGGAGGGCTGGGACCTTGGGACAGTTTCTGTGTCACTGCTGTCCCTTCTTCTGACAGAGAACTTCACCCGCTGCTCCTTTGACTATGATCTCTGTGGCTGGGAGACGGTGGCTGGGCCACCAGTGTGGGACAGGAACACGAGCTTGAACCTGGGCACCTCCTACAGCATTCCCACTCGGGACCACAGCAACAACAGCAGGGCTGGTACGTGGTGGGGCACCAGTGCCCCAGGGGAGCCCCACCGCAGGGGGATGTGCCCTGGAATGACACACGCCAGGGCTCTGCTCAAGGCTGTGCCAGGACAGCGGTGTCCTGCACCCACACATATGCCTGGCTCCACTCAGCTCCAGCATCTCCTGCAGGTTTTTTCCTCCATGTGAGCAGTGACCCCACTGCACAGACTGGTGGCACAGCTCAGCTCAGCAGCCCCACCTTCCAAGCCACCAACTCCTGTTCTGTGAGTCACAGCTGGGAACTCATGTCACAGCTCACGTGGGCATAGTCGTGACAGGAGATGGGTTCCCAACTCTGGGGACCCTCAGGCAGGGCTGGGCTGTGGTTGGCCCTTGCTGGGGATGGGCATCAGGTTTTTGGGGGTAGTTTGGTGACATCTCTGGTGCCCATTGGGAGCTCTGAGCTCCTCATAGCCCCTCTGTGGGATGCAGGGGGCTGTGTGCCCCTGCCCTAAGGGCTCACCCTGCCCCCAATCCCCAGCTCGTGCTGTACTGTCACCTCCATGGCTCAGCTACCAGCAACCTCAGCATCTCCTATGTGACCAACTCTACCAAGCACCTGATGAGGGAAAGGACAGGAGACCTGGGCAGCTGCTGGGTCCGGGAGAGAGTGGACTTCAACGTGATGGATCCCTTCAAGGTGGGCTGCTGCTGTGCTGGGGGGAGCTGGGGTGCCCCTGGGGTCCGGGACCACAGCTGCATACAGGGGCAGCACCACCCCCCAAGCCCACTGTGGCCATGCCAGCCCATGCTGTGCACCCCTGTCAGCCACAGCATTGCCCCTGCTCCCACTGAGTCCCTTCCTGGGGAAAATGTGAGCCAGTCCATGACAGGTTCTGGCTCCCAATCCCATGGCTCCCTGGTGTCACCCTAATCCCTGCAATATTGTGCATGACCCCTTGCTGATGTTTCTGACACGGTGCTTTCCTGCAGGTGCTGATTGAGGGGGTGGCTGGCAGCGGGGGGACCGTGGCCATCGATGACCTGATCCTGTCTCAGGGCTGTGTGAAGGAGCAGGGTGAGCTGGTGGGCAGTGTCCCTCACCCTGCTCCAGTGTTGGCAGCTGTCACAGGTGTCTTGCACCCATGGCACCATGCCTAAAGGACAGGCATGGTCTGCCTGTCCCTCTGCTCATCTCAGGGACCATCCTGGGTGCAGCACAGCAAATATTTGTCCTGGGGTGCTGGTGTCTGTCCTGTGGCTTTAACACTCTATCTTCTGTGTCAAAACGTGTCACACAGGCAGCTCTTACTAGGCCCTGGACCACCTAGCTGGTGGCAACTAGGTTGGGCTGGGATGGGACAGGATGGGATGGGAAACGGAGAGCCAGGAAGATGCTTGGGGACATGGGGCACGGTTTGAAGGGCTGACACTGGTGCTGTTGCTGGGCCTTTCACCACTGCTCTCCATCCTGGGGTGTTTCACCATCAGAGAAGCCTGTGGTGACACTGCCGAGCCAGGCAGGCGCCGGCCTCTGCGCAGCAGACGAGGTGGCCTGTGACAGCGGGGAGTGCATCGCCGCAGAGCTGGCCTGCGACTTCGCTGACACATGCGCCGATGGCTCCGACGAGAAGCGCTGTGGTGAGAGCCAAGGCAGGCACCTGCACCACTACCCCAGCAGTGGAGGGGACCAGGCACCCCTGGGCTGGCATGGCTGGGACACTTGTGTGCCTGCACAGCCCCTGGGAGGACAATGGCCTGGCAAGACTGAGCCTGGAGTTTTGGGTTGCCCAGAGAAGCTGTGGCTGTCCCATCCCTGGAAGTGTCCAAGGCTGGTTGGACAGGGCTTGGAGCACTCTGGGATAGTGGAAGGTGTCCCTGCCCGTGGCAGAGTGGTGGAATAAGATGAGCTTTAAGGTCCTTCCAACCCAAACCATTCTGGGATTTTGGGATCCTTTGACTTTGCAGGGACAACAACCTTCGAGTCAGGGACTGGGGGCTGGCATGATGTCAGCGTGGGGCGGCTGCGCTGGGGTCTGCAGAAGGTCGCTGAATCTGACATCTTCCTCACAGGTGAGGCTGTTCTCACCACCCAGACAATGCTCTTCAGTGCTCAGCACCACGGGAGCCCCCAGAGCAAGGACTCCCAGTGCGTGCCACTGCACAACGGGGGATGATGCCCAGGCAGGATGCTGGGCTGGGGGTGCTACCAGAGATGTGGGACCCCAGTCCTCACCTCACAGAGTGTTTCTGTGCCCAGGGACTTTCCTGGCCCTTCAGACAGGAGAAGGACAGATGGTGGGTCCTGCGAAGGCACGATCGCCTCTGCTGGGCCCCTCTGGCCCTGCCTGCACCATGGAGATGAGCTACCACATCCACAGTGACCCCCAAGGTAACCTCCTGCCCACCCCAGGGTGCCCTGCCTGCTTCCTGCTCCCAGACCCCCATGCCCACCTGCCTTTGCTGCCTCTCCCAACCATGCTTTGCCCCATCACATCATCCTGGAGCTGGGGTGTCTGTGTCCCTGTCTGTGTGCCTGCACCCCGTGACCATGGGCTGGTGCCATGGATGGCTCCCACAGGGTGGCCAGGGTTTTTGGGTGTCCACAGTCTCTGCACCACCTCTTGTTCCAGGCTTCCTTTCCATCAGTGTAACAGATCACACCACTGGCACCACCCAGCTGGTCTGGCAGACACAACATCGTGGCAGCACAACTGGGGGTCGTGTCCGTGTCTCTCTGGGGGAGAGAAGCCGGCCTTTTCAGGTGTGCTGGATGCACAGGGACCAGCCTGGGGGCTTTCAGTGGGACAGTGCCAGTGCTGCTGGGCACCCCAGGCTCATGGCTGCTGCCCCCAGGTCGAGCTGCTGGCACTCGTGGATCTCCAGGGCTCGGCGAGTGTCAGTGTTGACAACGTGACATTTGAGCAGTGCTACCTCAACACGGTGTCTCCCACAGCTGCAGGTATGGCCCAGGGGTGTGTGGGCAGGGAGGGTGACCCCACACCCTTTCCATGGGGGCTGCCTGGTGGCTGTCACTCTGTCCAAGAGCAGGACCATGGTGCACAAGGCCGAGGGCCAGGGCCAAGCACATATCCTGCCTTGCCCTGGGACCCCTGCATGGGATAAACTTGGGGAATGGGGCAGGGGAGCAGGGGGAAAGGGACCTCTGGGGGACCCATTTGCTTTTGTGATGCCTTACCCCTTTCCACCTCTATACTGTCACCTCTCTGGCCAGAGTTGTCCTGCAACTTTGAGAGAGGCATGTGTGGCTGGTACCAGGATCTGTCCAGTGACTTCAAATGGGTCCACAGCACAGGGCAGGGACAGGGCTCTGACCACACCACTGGCTCAGGTAAGGGGCTGGTTGCTCTTTGGGGGAACCCAGGAGCCCAGGGCATCCCATAGCCTTCAATCCCCAGGGCCAAGACATGCCTTGTACACTCTCAGCAGCCCCATGCCTACGGAGCAAGCTCACCTAGGGCAGGCTGGGAGCACCCAGATCTGGGCTGTGGGTGATGTGGAACACTCACATCATGAACCCTCCACCCTGGCTGTCCCTGACATTCAGGCTATTTCTTGTCCGTGGACTGCTCTGTGCCATGGAGCCATGGGCAGCGGGCCCAGCTCCTCACCTCCCGCCAGGAGCCGGCCGCTGCCCCACGCTGTCTCTCCTTCTGGTACCGTCTGGCCGGCCCACAAATTGGTGCGTGCCCCATGGCATCCTCCCAGGGCTGCCCCAGCCTGGCTCCACTCTGAGGACAGTGGGGTCCCCAAGGGCTGTGGGATGGCTGCCCCCATGCCCCCTCTGCACAGGTACCCTGAACCTCAAGCTGTGGCCAGAGGGAGGGGAGGAGGTGGTGCTGTGGACCCGCCGAGGAACCCAGGGCAGCATCTGGCACCGGGCATGGGCAACACTGCCCTCCACGGGCCAGCAGCGGTACCAGGTGAGGACCGGGCCCCCGTGTCCCTGGCACCAGCAGGGCACAGCGTGTCTGACACCGCTGCCTGGGGGCAGGTGGCTTTCGAGGTGCTGCACGATGGTTTCCTGGGGGACGTGGGGCTAGACGACATCACGCAGACAGCAGGAGCCTGTGGGGCCAAGCTCTCCTGCTCCTTCGAGGCGGAGGACTGTGGGCTGGCAGCCAGCGGAAAGGGCACCTGGCAGCGACAGAGCAACAGCACTGGCACCACCGCTGGCCCTGTGGCCGACCACACCACCGGCACCGCCGCAGGTACAGGGCCGTGGCAGCCCTGTTGCTTCCCTGCTGCACTGAGTGTCCCCCCTGCCTGTGCTGAGTGTCCTGCCTGTACCTCACGCCAGCCTTGCCTGCTCTCCTTGTGTCATGCCTGCCCTGCCCTCCCCAGGATGAGAAGGCAATACTGCACAGGGCTTCCCAACCCTGGAACTCCCCAAATGCAGAGTCTCCCAGCCCCAGGGCTCCCTAATCCTGGGGAGGTTCCCAGGCTGGGGAGACTCCTTGACCTGGGGGGGAAACCCAGCCCCAGTTGTCCCCTAGTGCTCCCCAGCAGGGTGGGCAGGGGTCACAGCACAGGGGCTTCTCTCCTCCAGGCCATTACATGGTGGTGAACACGGGCAGGGTCTCCCTGCCTGCAGGGCACATGGCTGTCCTCACCTCCCAGCCCTACCCGTCCTCTGTGTCCACCCAGTGCCTGGCTTTCTGGTACCAGCTGAGTGCTGGGACTCCAGGTGAGCACCACCTGCCCTGAGACCCCTGGGGGCACCTCCAGATGGGTGGGAGCCCCACACAGCCCTGGACCCCTCCTCCATGTTGGGTGCCCTGGGCAGGCTTCCTTAGGGTGTTCGTGGAGCAGAGCAGGGTGAGGAAGAAGGTTATGAGTATGAGCACCATGGAAGGGAGCAACTGGCACCGCAGCCATGTCACTGTCCAGCCCGTTGGTGACTGGCAGGTGAGACAGGGCAGGGTGCTGGGGGCAGCTGGAGGTGATGAGGGGTGCATGGAGGCTGCCAGCCTCAGCATGTCACCCTGCCCAGGTGGTGTTTGAGGCAGTGGGAGCTGGGGGTGACCACGGATACATTGCACTGGATGACCTGCACGTGTCGGTGGGAGCCTGTCCCAAGCCAGGTGAGATCCCACCCCACAGGGGCACTGTGGATCAGAGAGGGGGATGGGACAACCTGTGGGGGCATGTAAGCCATGGGGATAGGGACAGACCTGTTCCTGCCCTGAGCTTGGCCTGGCCCAAAGCTGGGTATGGTGTGTACCACCCAGGTGCCCCATCTCCTGCCAGGTAGTACTGGGTGTCTCACAGCCGTGCTTTCCTCCCAGCATCCTGTGACTTTGAGCAGGACACTTGTGGCTGGAGCAGCCCCTCGGACCCCCGCTTGCACAGCTTTGCCTGGGGCTGGAAGAGTGGGATCACCCTGGCCAAGTACCCTGGCCCTGAGCAGGATCACACCCTGGGTACAAGGAACGGTAGGAAACACCATCCCTGCCTGAGAACCCTGGCATGGCCAGAGCAAGGAAGAAGAGCTGGGGGTGGATGGGGTCAGTCCAGTACACCTTGTGAGGCCTGGCCCCACAGCATCTCTGTCCCCTCTTCACCTGGGAGGGGAGCTCGGCCCCAAGGGCACTGAGGTACAGGGCTGGTTTGTGTTGTCCTCCAGGCATCACTCTGGGCGTTTGGGGTAAGAGTGGGACAAGTGGGGTGGGACAAATGGGTGCAGGACTGAGGGACACCCTGTGCTCTGTCCCTGCCTGGCCAGGTCACTACATGCACTTTGACACCAGCGTGCTGGGTGCCAGGGGCACCAGTGCCCTGCTGGAGAGCCCACCCCTGCCCGCAGCCACCGACTCCTGCCTACGCTTCTGGTACCACATGGACATCCCGGAGCACCTCTGTGAGCACTGCAGGGCAGGAGGAGGGGTCCACGGGTCCCTGGGCCTCATGTATGGGAGTGGAGGCCTCAGTGCCCCCCACCTGTGGACCACAGACCCTCTGCTTCAATTCCAGCTGGGCAGTGGCGACGGCCCAGTCCCTCTGGGAGCTGCCATCCCAGTAGAGGATGGCATGGCTGGGAGGGCTCGGTGGCTCTTGTGGGCTCGGGGCAGCTGGTAATGCCAGGACACCTGTGCCCCTCCTTGCAGCCAGTGGGGAGCTGCGGGTGACGCTGCAGGGCACGGCGGGGCAGCGGGCGGTGTGGAGCGTGGCGGGGCACCGCAGCCGGGGCTGGCAGGGCGCCGTGGTGCCCGTGCAGAGCCCCAGTGAGTTCCAGGTAAGTGGGGCCACCCTGGGGTGCAGGGTCTCTTCGGGCGTGCATCAGCCCCCCAGACCTCACCTTCCCCCGCAGATCAGCTTTGAGATCACCACACGGAGGTGGCCGATGGAGGGGACAGTGGCACTGGATGATATCATGTACAGCACCAGGATGGGCTGCCATTCCAGCCCGGAGAGCCCAGTGGAAGGTGCGGGGATGGAGGGGCGGGGGGATGTGTGCAGTTCTGGCTGTGAAAGGTCAACCCAGGGTGCTGGGCTGAGGCTGGAGGCAGCTCTCTGGGCAATGGGTCGAGCCTGACAGCATTTCCTCCCCCTGCAGAGAAGCCCTCCGGCAGTTTCGTGGCGGAGGTGGCGCTCAGTGTGCTCCTGGCCCTCGTCATTGTGGCGCTGGTGACTGCTGGGGGCTGGTACTGGCTGAAACAGCGAAGGGTGGCGAGCAGGACACCGACAGAGAGCAACACTTCCCAGGGCTTCGACAACATCACCTTCCGAGATGTAAGGGCAGGGTGAAGGACTTCCCTGATTACCCCAGCTGTGCTAAAACAGCGTTTTCCTAAAAGCTCAGCAAATGCCAGCAGGCTCTCCCTGACCCCGCATTCCGCCAACGCGACAGGAGGTGCAAAGGGCTCTGCCTCTTATCTGCTTGTTGACAAACAAGTGACCCTGAGCTGTAGGACTGACCTAAAAGTGCTGCTGCCACCAGGCAGCTGCTCTGGAAAGAGCTGAGTGTGCTCCCACCCCAGAGTCCTGTGGGAAGGGGGTCTAGCAAACCTGGCTCATCCTCACTCAGCCAGCACTCAGTTCAGTGCAAGGTGGCTTAAGCTGCAGGTCCCTTGGACAGATTTGGTGCCATGACATCTGCAGCAGAGCCACCAGCCCCGGCATGGACTCAAACAACAGCCAGGGGCTCCCTAGGCACACTGGGGATTTGGTGCCTCTGCTGGGGTCACAGTGGGCTGGCAAACAGATTGTCCTTGCTGCAGCCTAGAAGAAATCCTGGTGTTTCACAGCAGACAGCCCGCATTTGTCTCCAATTCCCACTCACCTTTCTTTACAGGACAAGGTCATTATATCTCCACGGGAGGGGGATGAGTCTTGAAATTAGCAGCCAGCAGCAGGAATTGCCTGCTCCCCCCTGGGCAGACCACCTCGACAGGAACCCACACTCCATCAGCTGCCTGCTCTCTGCCCCCGGCGCCGGGGAGCGGGGACCCGGGGAGCCTGCCCCGCCCAGGGACACTCCGCTGTCATCACTACCTCCAAGTGCTCCGGAAAAGCGTTTGTGTTGTTTGTAACATGAACTTTTTGCTTACAAGACACAGCAATGCGCCCGTGCTTTGGCAGGGGGCACGAGTCGGAGTTCTCACAGTGGCTGTCCCCACCCAGAGTTCTGGCCATGGAAGGGGGGGTGAAGTGTGGGGTCCTGGCCCCCAGAGCTGGGAAGAGCAGTGGGTGCTGCAGAGGGTGTGAGCCACTTTCCATGTCCAGGACAAAGCAGAAGAGCTCCCAGGGAGCAAGAAACCCCAGGGGGAGGAAGCTCAGTGCTTCTGCTGGTTTTGGGGAGGGTGAGTGGTGGGGGGGGGAGGGCAGGGGGCAGAGTGGGGCATCACACAGCTCCCCTGAGGGCAGCAGGCAGCTCCCACTCTGCTGTACAGATGCCCACATGCTGCCCACACACCTTGTGAATGCACTTGATAAAGGTCACTGGGAAACCCAGTGCAGGCTGAGGTGCAGGCTGGACTCAGGGACTGGACCCCCACCCTGCAGCCAGCACAGCCGAGCCCAGGACCCCACCCTGCACCCCCAGCTTTCACACCTTACTGCTGAGAACTCCAAACCCAGCCCCACACACAGCCTAGTTCAGCCCCTGCACAACAATGAGTATCCTGCTGCCCCCAGCCCCCATGTACAGCTGGAGGGACATCCTGTTTCCCAGGCTGTGACCAGAGCCTGTCCCTTCTCACCCAGCTGTGTCCCCCTTAGGTGATGCCTCATGCCAAGCACCATCCCCATAGCCCTGTGCAGCTTGCAGAAATGAGGGCCCAAGAGAGCTGAGAGCCGGGGAAGGGCAAAGAGGGCTCAGGCTTCACCTGATGTCTCTGCAGATCCCCACAGCCTCCCCTCACCTGCACAGCACTGATTCCAGCCCCAAGCTGCACCATCCGCGACGCAGGGAGAGGTGACACAGCCAGGAAGGTTGTGACAGTGCTGGCCCTCATCCCAGCCACCCCAGGCATCCCTTTAATTACAATCCCAGAAGGAAGAGGTGATGCAGCTCCAGTCACACCCAGCCACAACATTTACTACCAGCTGGTCACATGCAGCAGCTCCCCTGGGCAACTGAAGGGTATCAAACTTTATTATAGATCTCTTTAAAACAGGCTGGAAAGAACAAACCAAACTCATTGAGATACAGTGACTGAGTCATGATTTCTGATCAAGCCCCAACTCTCCCAAATTATTATTTATATATAATATATCTTACCCATCCCCCAAATTGTTTCAATTAAATCCTCACATTTCAGACCACCCTAAGTGCCTTAACATCAGCTGCTGCTAACACCACAATGTACATGTTTTCTGGCAAATCAGAGGCAGGGTTTGGGTTTTTTCTTGGGGTTTAGATCCTCAATCTCTGAAAAGGAGCAAGGAAAAACAAACATCAGGAAAATTGCTTCTTTAAGGTTGCCTTTTTACAGCAGGTACAGATTCAGCAGATTTCCCCCCAAAGCAAGTCTGAAACCCTCTTGTTCAGCTTGGCAATATGCAGAGTGGTTGAGGAGAACCAGATCAGTCTGAGCAAACTGATTTCGAGGCTTTGTTGTCATTTCCCTTTGGGGCCAGTTTCCAGCGGTTTTCCAATGTCCTTGCCACGCAGTTTGAGGCCTGGAATAAGACAAAGGAGAGCACCACCATCAGCACTCAATCATTCACACAGTAACTTTTATTTCCACCAAATTCAGCCTTAAGGAAGAGAACATCCAGAAACAGAGCAGGGGAACCAGAGTTCAGGAGAATCCTACTTTAGTTTCTAAGAGCACCAGACCAACTTCAAACAAAACCCAATTGGATGGAATCTGAACCAGCCCAGGAGAGTAAAACACAAAATCCTTCTACAAGTGCAATCAGGCTTCCATGGGTCTCAGCATCTCACAGGTTTTGGGGGCAAGCACACAGGGATGGTCCCCAGGGCACAGCTGGAGGCCTGAAGGTGCAGACAAAGATCAAGAGCTCCCAGTTCTGGTTCAGTCAGCAGATCCAGGTTTTATCAGAACATGACTTAATGGCACCACACCCACAATAAACTCCAGGCAGCAACGTTCCTCACAGGAAAAAGGTAAATAGTTTCCCCCAAACCACCCCTCCAAGCACTGGCAGTATTTCTGAAGTCTCCCTTAACTCACCAATGGCTCTTTCGATCTTGCCCATGACCTGGTTATTGGGGATCGCTCGTCCTGATTCGTAGTCAGCGATAACTTGTGGCTTTTCATTGATTTTCTGAAAAGAGAGGATGAGTCTCAAACACAGCAATGCTCAGCAGCAGGCCCCCAGGACTCACACAGATAAGGAATGGCCGCTCATTATGCCAGGACAGATGACAAAGTGCTGCTCCCAGGCTGACTCCATCCCCACGGGCACCTCCCTGAAGTGTCCCAGTGCTGGTAACATCCATCCTGAAGGGACTTTGGCCTCCCTCCTTCTCAGGAGGAATAGGAACACCAGGGATTGCTGTTCCTTCAGACAGCAGGGAGCTGCTAACACTGCTCAGCCCAGATGGTACAAAGCTCTAGGGTTGGTGTGAGCTGCTGGGAGGAAGAAGGGAGCAGCCTCCCACCAGCTGAGCAGCCACAGACAGGCTCTGCCTCCAGCCTGGGACTCAAGGGCTGCACAGACAAACCTCAAAACTTTTCCCAGACAGCTGAAGCTGCCAGGACAGCAGACACCAGCGATACTGCATTCCTCAAACTTCCAGCCCATGACACCATCCCACTGCAGCTGCCCATGGAGGAACAGAAAGGTGCCCACCCTCACCTGGAGGTGCTCCACTCACCGTGGCCAAGTCCTTCTGCGTGAGGCCCTTGCTCTGTCGGCCCTGCTGGATCACTTTGCCCACCTCCAGGGAAACTCTATCATGGTGCAGCTCCTCTGTTTCACGGTCAAGCTTGGCCGTGTTCTTTGTAATGAAGTGTTGTTTGTTCTGGCCTGCTGCCCCTGTTATTCAAAGCAAGAACGAAAAAACAACCAAGGACAAACAAAATAAGGCTCAGAGCTGTGCCAGAGAATATCAAAGGACTTTCCCCAAGCCCTCAGCTGCCCAGGATCCCAGGGCGCTGTCAGGATTTTAACACACCAACACTGACCTCACCCAATTCTCCTGCCCATCAGGCAGGAGAACCTTAGCCCTGCTCGTAGTGCTGTGCACACCTAGCCATGCTGAGCCCTTCCTTTTCCCTACTTCACACCTGAACTTCCCTCCAGACAGGACAAGTCCTTCTTTTCGCTGGGGATTTAATGCTCTAACCTTACTACAGACAAATATTTGTGCTGCAGCACAGAGAGGTCAATACTTGAACTTGAATTGTGCTTGCTCAGTATAAGGCACCCCAAGCAAGTAGCTTTTAACCAATTTTCTGACATCTTTGATAAGTAAAGTCTAATTGTAGTTAGCTTTGCTAAAAGACAGCTTCAAAAACATTGTTTTCTCTCACGTTAAATATAGTATTTAAGCACTAGTTTGAATCCTTTCTCTCACATTAGTCTCTGACATTCAGTGTCCCAATAAAGCTGATTAACCTTCTTCAAGGATCATCTCTCTACTTCCAACCATCAGACTAGCCTCCCTACAGTGAGAGAACCCAGCAACTTACACCAGAGAAGAAACAAGGAATTTTTAAAGAGCAGCACCATAGGAACATCGGCAGCCATTCAAATTCGCAAAAGAAGCTGGGGAGCTTAAGTGTTGTGAACACAAAAGCTCTTCCAAGATCTCTGCAGGAACCAGGCAGATCTCTGCCCTGGGCATCCAGAAGCTAAGGGGCAGCTCCAGGGGCGCCATCCCGGCGGCTCCCGGGGCCGCCCGGCACGGCCCAGCCCGGGATCCTGCCCCAGGCGGGCGGTGCCGCCGTCTGCCTCCTCGCCCCGTGCCAGGCAGCCGCCCCAAACCGGACCGGGACCCCCGCGGGATACCCACACTTCTTGGAAGTTTCCACGTCCTCCCCGCGCCGCTGGGCCGCCAAGATCGCCTGGGGAAAGAGCGAAGGTGCGCGGTGAGCGCGGCGCCGCTCGGAGCGGTGGCCTCGACCACGCCGAGCCCAGGCCTGCCGCCCGCATCCGGCCCCGCATCCGGCCCCGCATCCGGCCCCGCACCGCTCCCCCCGCTGACCTGCTTGGACTTGGCCTGGGCCGCGCTCGGGCCCTTCTTGCGCAGCACCGTGACCGTGTCCCAGTCGCTCTCCGCCATCGCTCCGACCCCGCCCGGGCCGCGCCCGCCGCCGGGCACCGCCCAGTGCCCGCCTCCGGGGGCGCGGCCGCGCGACGGCCGCTGATAGGGCGAGGTGCACGCCCGTCAGGAAAAGCAGGCGCTCATAGGTGGAGACAGGCGCGAGCGCAGCAGGCGGGACTTAGATTCCTGCACGGACTGTTGGCTTAGCTGCACCCAGGCGCGACGCAGCTCCGTTTGATAGGCGCAGTTACCTGCCAATCAGCCTCTCCGCGATGTGACTGGCTGGTGCCCACGCCAACCTGGGGCGGACGGCACGTGCCTGTACACGCTAAGATTGGCTATCGGCCCTGCCAGTCACCCGTCACCCGGCAGGGATTGGTTTGTTCTGCGGCGCTGTCAAGACCCGTTGGCCTGCTCGGCCGAGCCGAGCCGAGCATGCGTAGTGCGGTGGTTCGCCGTGTCGGTTTCCCCTAGCTCGTTGGCTCGGGCGCGCCTGCGGGCACCGGCAGGGCCGGGCAGGGATGTGCCGTGGGACCTTCGTGCTGCCGGGAGCCCAGCGAAGCGTCTACAGGACGGACACGGGCATCGGGACGGTCCGCAGGGGCCAGGGGAGGAGCGGCTGAGGGCCCTGGGTTGGTTCGGCCCAGAGAAGGCGATACTGAGGTCGAACCTCTCACTGGCGCTGCAGCTCCTCCCGCGGGGCAGCTCCGATCTCTGCTGGCTGTGACACGGACAGGAGCCAGGGCACGGCTGGGGCTGGGCCAGGGCAGCTCAGGCTGGAGATCAGGGCAAGGCTCTTCCCCCAGAGGGTGCTGGCACTGCCCAGGCTCCCCAGGGAATGGGCACGGCCCCGAGGCTGCCAGAGCTCCAGGAGCCTTTGGACAGCACTGCCAGGGATGCCCAGGGTGGGCTTGTTGGGGGGTCTGGGCAGGGACAGGGGCTGGGCTGGGTGATCCTGGTGGGTCCCTTCCAGCTCAGGATATTTTGTGATTCGATGAAAATCCCTAAACTGCATCAGAATCACCCAGAAAGTTTTGCAGTTGCAGTAAAGGCGTGAAAAGCTGCTCCTGCTCTCGTCATTTCTGAAGTGAGAGGGCACAAAGCTAACACTCCCCAGGCGGATTTTTGTGGGGTCTTCCCATGACAAAGCACACGACGAGTGGCCGGATCGCGGTCACGGTGATGATCCAGGCATTGCTTGGAAATCAGGTCGGCCCGGGGCTTTGCATTTGTCATCTCTCACCGCAACACGCCCGGCCCCGGCTCCCGGGCCCCGGGAGAAAGCAGCTCCGGAGGTGGGACATCAGCGGGGTGCAGGACTTTCTCCTTGGGCCGTGCGGTGGAGCCGGCGTGTCCCGGCAGGACTGGGAGCAGCCCCACGGTCCCGTCCCGCGGCGGGCGTTCCAAGCAAGCCTTTGGTGCGGGTTTCCTGTCCCCTTGGGAACAGCATGTCCTGCTGCCAGGTCACGGTCATTTCAGGAAATGTAGACAGGATTTTTTTTTTTTCGATGGATGACATCACCAAGTTTTCCATGCCGGCGTTCGCAGAGCAGTGCGGCTGTGCTGGGAAAAGGGCTGTTGCGGTGCAGTGGGTGGAGCGGTTCCCATGCCAGGGGAGCTGTGCCCGTGCCATTCCCGGTGCCGACACACGCAGGGATGCACTGTCCCCGGCTCGCTGACAGGGAGCATCCCGCCCTGACGGTGCCCGAGCAGCACCTGGCCCCTCGCCAAGGGCTCGGTGTCCCTGAGCCCCCGCGGCCCTGCCGCGCCCTTCACTTCGACCCCCTCCTCTCCGGCCCCGTCTTCGCAGCCAGGCTCCCGGGAGTCACCTTGGCCGCTGTGTCACTGCTCGGTCACTGCGCCCGGCTCTGACAGCGAGGATTTCCCCGGCACCGGGTGAATTCCCCGCAGTGAGAGCCCGCCCATCCCCGCCCCGCCGGCGCGGCAGGCGGTAAAACCCCGGAGCCCCCGCGCGGGGGGCAGGCAGGCTGGGGACCCCGGGTGACAAATCTTGCTGCTGTGACCTTGTGCCGAACAAGTTCTCTGCAAAAAGCACCTCGCCGTGACCTCAGTGCGTGCTGCGCCGCGCCTTTCCCCCACACGGCATTTTTCCTGCGATCGGCGTCCTGCCGTCTCCGTCCTGCCACCGCCCATCCTTCCCGGCCGCTGGCCTCCCCTGTCCCCCGAGCCGGCGCCACGGGACGCGAGGTGGCCATGACACTCTGTGCGCAGGTAGGCGAGGGCACACTGGTACCCAAAATGGCCCAAAGTGACTTCAAAACAATTCCTCAGGGTGCCAGGGCTCGCTCCGGGCCATTTCCAAGGGACCAGGGGCTGCTCACCAGCGGAGTGCAGCGGGAGATGGCTGTCCCCGATGGGACCCCGGGTGGGTGAGGTGGCCCCAGGTTCAGCATCACAGTCCATCTTTTCCCCCCTCCAGCAAATGCAGAGGATGCGTGAGGGGAGGTCCCACGGGATGGATGGGAAGTCCCTGGGATGGACGAGGGTGCCCAGGAGGTCCTAGGAGGTGGATGAGATGGACACAGAGGAGGGATGAGGGAACCCAGGGGGTAGATGAATCGTCCTGGGGGAGTGTGAGGGCGTCCCGGGGACCTGGGTTCATTCCCAGCAGGGCCGTCTGAAGCAGGGATATGGCAGGGGACAGCTGGGGCGGGTCAGCGAGGAGGGTGCTGGGGAAGAAGTGACAGAGGACGGGGTAAGGGAGTGACTGAGGAGCTCAGGGGAGGTGACTGAGGGGGTGACAGTGGGGGGGGCAGGGGGCATAACTTGGTGTGACGGTGGGGTGGTGGGTGTGGTGGCAGAGATTGATGTGGGGGTGTTGAGGGTGCGGACGTGGGTGACGGTGCGGTGGTGTCGGAGAGGGGGTGTCAGGGATGCAGGGATGGGTGACGGTGTGTTGGGGACACTGGGAATGCAGGGGTGCGTGTTGTTGGGTGGTCGAGGGTGTCGGTGTGGGGGTGTCGGGAGCGTTCCCGGGGGCGGGGCCCTTCATGTGGGCGGGGCGCTGTCAGGGGCGGGGCCGTTCCCGGTCGGTGGGCGGGGCCCGGGCTCGCCACACGTGTCGGGGGGCGGGGCCTGGCGGGGCTTCCGGTGCGGGCGCGCAGCGAGGGCCGGTGAGTGCGGGGCCCTCAGGGAGCGGCGGGGTCGGGCCTCGCTCCGCTGGGAGCTCGGCTCCGCAGAGAGCTCTCCTGGCCGCGGGGAGCCCGGGCCACAGGAAGGCAGCCCTGGGATCTTCTCCGGTTCGCGGTGTCTCTGCTCGTGAGGGCTCCTCCCGGAGACAGGCTCGGGGCGTTCAGCCTGGAGAGGAGCAGGCTCCAGGGCGACCTCAGAGTCCCTTGTAGGGCCTGAAAGGACTCCAGGAGAGCTGGAGACGGACTGGGGACAAGGACATGGAATGTCAGGACAAGGGGAGCAGCTTCCCACTGCCAGAGGGCAGGGCTGGATGGGATATTGGGCAGGAATTGTTCCCTGTGAGGTGGGCAGGCCCTGGCACAGGGTGCCCAGAGCAGCTGTGGCTGCCCCTGGATCGCTGGCAGGGTCCAAGGCCAAGTGGACAGGGCTGGGAGCAGCCTGGGACAGTGGAAGGTGTCCCTGCCCAGGGCAGGGTATGGAATAAGATCAACTTTAAAGTCCCTCCCCATCCCAACCACAGGACTCCACAGGTGTGCTCCTTGGCTGTTTTAGGTGGCTGTAGCATGTAGTCACAGAGAATGAAGGTATGAGATGCATAAGCAACTAAAACAAAAGCATTTTATTCTTTGCCTTCTTTCTAATTTGCTTGTGCCTCTGTGTCCTCATTTTCCATCCCTCTGGAGAACCGTTTGTGCCTGATTGGGTGCCGCCACTAAATCTGGGCTCCACTGTGTGCCCAGCTTCCCCCAGGAGCATCCAGGACCAGCTGCCTCTGGGCAGAATTTTGGTCCCTCCTGATAGCTGACAAGTGTGAAAGCAAGCATTGGTAGGCTGTGGTGGCCAACAGGTTTTTAGTGAACTGAATTTATTATATTTATTTCTTATCACCTTTAAGACAGTTTTTTACCTTTTTTGGAGCAAGAAGACTTGATATCTCTAAACAGGCTGCATTTCAGTCAACTCAGACAGGGGGTTTTATATTAGGTCTGTCCTTCCTGTCTCTGTGTTCTGGATTTAGTTCTAAAATTCAAGTTTCCTCACATATTTGGGAGGCGAAGGCAAGCTTGTAGTGTGGTTTACATCAGTATGTTTACTTGTTGGGGGACAGTCTAATAAACTGTGAGTAACACAGTTTATATGAGAAATCATCCCCATGCAATTATAATCAGTTGGAGAAAATACTTTTATTTTCAGTCTCTGGACATACAGCCAGAACTTTTCGTTCACATGGCAGCAGCAAACTCTTCTCCACCTGGTTCTCTGGATCTAAACCAGCCTGGCTTTGCAAAGGAGATCCTGGGAACTAAACTGGAGGTCAAATACCTGTGCTCTGATTGCAAGAACATCCTGAGGCGGCCGTTCCAGGCACAGTGCGGCCATCGCTACTGCTCCTACTGCCTGAAGAAAATCATCAGGTAACTGCTGTGCCTCCAGTGGGAAGGCAAAATATTTGAAAAGGAATTTTCAAGAACAAAAGCAGAGAGAAGTGTCATTTTCAGGACTTTCTCAGTAAGGGAGCTGTGTTCAATCATTGAGGTTCAGCATCATCTCTTCTCTAAGGGTATGTGTAATCTCTGACTTGCCTTTGTTGATGCTTCAAAGTTCTCTTTTCTGGAATCCCCTGCATTGTTTTTGCCGTTGAGGAGGCAGTCCAGGTCTATCACCCATCTCCTTCATCACAGTCATAAAGTCATCATTTCGTTGTTGTCTCAGAATGGGAGAGGTTTAAGCACAAACTGGCTTCCAGAGAAGTTTCCTTGTGTTCTATCTCACTCCTACCTTTGTGTGAGGAAAGATAGAATGTTTAATTGGCAGAAGAAAAAAATTAGAAATAGGCATCAACAATACACACAAGCAAAGGCTCAATGTGTTGCTTTAAAAACAAGAAAACACTGTCATTTCATAAAGTTACCAGAAATCAATTTATTGTTAAATTTTGTTGTTGTTGTTGTTTTTGTGTTTGATTTTTTTTTTTTCTGTCTGATAGTGCTGGACCTCAAAAGTGTGCCAGCTGTATCCAGGAAGGAATATATGAAGAAGGAATTTCTATTTTGGAAACAAGCTCGGTAAGGAAAAATGCATTGAAAGAAACGTAACAGATCACTGGTGTCAGAAATACCAGTTACACTTTCTGCTTAAAACATGAGCTCTAAGAACTCCTTATTCCTAGGAACTCTCTTGTGAAGCAGTGAGAAGGGTGATTACTGTGTTGGACTCCTCGGTGCTGAAATCCAGGTCACGTGTGTGTAGTGGTGCCCTACTTAAAGCTCTCACAGCGATTTGGTTGCTGTTAACACACCTCTGAGGGTTGATGGGGCAACTGGTCTGGGAGGAGTTTTCAGAAAGAATTCAAAGTCCTGATCAAAACTGCAACTCCTCAGTAATATTTGTGGTCTGCTTGTTTTTTCCATTTCAGGCTTTCCCAGACAACGCGGCACGGCGGGAAGTGGAGAGTCTGCCTGCTGTCTGCATCAACAGCGGCTGCACCTGGAAGGGAACCATCAAAGAGTACGAGGTACAGGCCTAAGCAAGGCTTGGCACATCTGCAGCCTTCTTCCCTCTGTTTTTGGGGAAGGCTCAGGGTGTTGTCCGTGCTCACTGACAGTGGGGAAAAGTTGTCAAATCCCTGGACTTTACTGTCAACTGAAGAGGTTCCCCGAATGAGGGTTTGTGTGCCCTGCTGGGGGCACAGGCTGGACTGAGATGAGTTCAGATTTACTTGTGAGCACAGGGATTTGCTTGTGAGCATGTTCCTTCCATGATGGGAACCACCTGCTCTCTTTGCAGCTCTTTTCTGCTATACAAGACTGTCAGGAAATTGCTGTGCCATGAAATGGTTGTGACTTTCTCTGCATCATGTGAACCTAAAACTCCGTCATCCCATTTCAGCTGTCTCCAGAGCTACCAGGGTAGTGGGACTGGATGTTGGGTACTGTCTGGTCACTCATCACCCAAACTGTTCTGGGACACAAGGCTGCTGGACAGGATGATTTTTTCACCTCACTTCTCCTCGAGGAGCCCAGTAGCTTTTTAATACAGGTTGTGGCTGGGTGTGCTTGGTGTATAGTGTATGGCTGTATGTGAAGCTTTTGGCTCCTGAAAGACCATTTTGTCATCCCTCTTGGAATGGCAGAGCCATCACATGGGAGGCCTGAGATAAGAGGAATACATTTTATTTCCCTCTAACACTCACTCCAGATTAAGATCATAGCCTGGTGGTTTACAGAGCTTTGGCAGTGACTGAGATGTTTCAGGAGCTGGTTTAACCTTGGTCTGTCCAGGCTAACATTGGGATTCTCTCGATGATGCCATTCCAAAGTGGAAGGAAGAAGCAACAGCTGTGCATCAGGCCTGAGCATTCTGCCCAGACTGTGCCTCTGCCTGTTAGCAGAGAGATGCTTCTGCAGCTGTTTCTTTGTCCTGCTGTCTGAGCCTTCTGCTGAAGTTCAAAGTTCAGTCCAAGAGAGGAGGATGTCGGTGCTAAATGGTCCTGCTGCTGTGAACCCCCATTTGTACATCTGTGAGAGACTCGTGGTGTGGATGTGGGACTGAAGAAGTGTCAGGTGAAAAGCTTAACACTGCCACAGCACAGAGTTTGGGGATTGCACGTCAAGGAACAGGGTACCCATGTACTGAGGTTTCAGGTTCAGGCTGTGCTGGTGGTGTCTGCAGATTGTTTGCTTCATAATTTAGTTTCTGCTGGTGCCTAGAAGTCCAATGTCTTCTGCAATGATTATGGTGAGCTCATCTTCGTTAAACTAAACCAAATTATATCTGTCAGCAACTTCCAGTGCTGATTGTGCTGTGGCTGATGAGCCATGCTGAACTTTTTCTTCTGGTTTTAAAAAAGGTCTTAACGTGGTCTTGCAGAGCTCAGCAAAAATCTGCTGCTGCCAAAGGTTCTCCCTCTGTATTCTGACAAGTGTTAGAGTGCTTGGGTCTGGCCAGAGCTCCCACTGGGAGTTGAGAAGGGCAGCAGGCTGTCCTGGGAGCAGGGCTGCAGGAGCGTGTGATGCCCCAGAACCTTGCACACAGCTGATGAAGGGCTCCTGTATGGATGAGCCTGTGCCTTGTTTTCACTCTCCACTTGATCTTCCCAAACCGCAGTTTGGCGTTTGCTGGGACAAAGGATGATTGATAGTGGTGTGGCCCTGGAGTGCGTGGGCTGCGGGTCTGTGGCATCTGTGACATCTTCCCTGCCAGGGGTTTTTATGAGTCTCGGGGAGTCCTGTGTGGTCCAGGGGGTGTGGGGGTTTGGAGCAGTGCTGGCTGTTTCCTCTCAGGGCTGAGTCACCTCTCCTGCCTGCCCTGGTGGCATTCAGCCTGAGGAAGGAGGTTATTTTGTGCCCTCTCAGGAAAAGCTGGCTCTTTCCTAGGAAATGGTGGGAGGAGGCAAGGTCTGGCTTGTGTTATCTCCTCTCGTGTGCCTGCCAAAGAGCTGTGGCATTTAATCAGGACTGGCTGTCTCCATGCTGCCAAAGCCATGTGTGTTGATGAAGAGGGCTTGTTGATGGGAAAGGAGGCGTTGAATGGCTGTGTTAGCCCAGAGCCTTGTGATGTCTTGGGCTAAGGTTAAACCCAGCCTTCAGGGCCACAGTGCAGAGCTGCCTGGTGCAGAAGAGCTGCATCCGTAGCTGCACTGTGGGTAAGTCCTGCAGCAGCTCAGCACTCCCACTCTGGAAAGTACCTCAGAGCTATTTCCGAGAGGACATGGAAAGTCCCTCAGAGTGAATTCACTGTTTGCTAATTTTAAAATCGTGTGTTGTGCTGAGACAGGCTGCTCTCCCCTTGCAAATGAAAAGATACTGTCACTTCTGGCTTGCTAATCTTATCAGGGCACACACAGGGGAAATATGTTCTCCAGCTGGAAAGCTTAAGCCTCAAGAAAAGGAGTAAAATGGATTTCAGTTTTGCTTTCTGTTCAGGTAGACTGAAGTTTGGCTCTCAAAGGGAAACACAAAACTGAATGAGTGCAGTCTGCTTGGACATGACTTGCACTTTGCTTCAAGCTGTGTGGACCATGTGAAATATTTAAGTCTGGATTTATGGCTGCATTTTTCAGAGTCTGTAATATTTTGTGGCATTTGGATAAAGTAGTTGGGGGGGGGAGGGGCTGAAGGGTTTTTCCTTTTATTGGTGACCTTGTTTCCTGATGAGTCTGTCTGCCTGTACATTTTTAAAATCAGGCTGTGGGCATGAACCTTTAGATTCACGAGCAAAGTCTGAGAAGGGCTGCAGAAAGTAAACCCAGCCCATGAAAGCAAAAGGAAAAACCTCAAAAACGGTCCCAGTGATATCCAGGAGAGGGAGTTTGTGGTTCCTCAGCTCTGGTCTGTTTTTCCTCCCACCTTTCAGTACCTCTAGCTGCCATGTCCCTCTCCTGTTTATCAACATATTGTTGTCAGTTTTCATACACCTTTTATTTATACTTTTCATCCCACCAGTTCCCTTCCTGTGTCCTCCCCCAGGACTGCGATGGGAGGAGGGGGCTGAGGAGGAGTATACACAGGGTCAGCTTTGGCATTCCCCTTGGTTACCCCAAACAGGGCATTTAATGCAGCCCTCTTCAGCTGGAAGCAGAATTAACTGAGACATAAGGAAATGAAATTGTCCAATTTTAGGAAGGAGAACTAAGTTTTAAGCTTAAACATGACATCAGTGTTTAAACTAAGTTTTGTGGGGCTCAGATCAGCTGAGCTTCTGAGGCCAAGCAACAGTCAGGTGTGGGAACAAGCTGGCTTAATCCACGCTGGAGGGAACATGCTTTCTTTGAGTTTGTTGTTGTCACTTTGGTTTTAGAGAGTTCTTTCTAAATGAAACCTGGAAGGCTGCAGAAGGTGCAAAACTCCGAACCCAAGTGGTGTTACTCAAAAGCCTGTGGTGTCAGAAAGGATGTCTATAGCCCCTTCTGGTCTATGTGGCTTCCTGGCTCCAGAAGAACAGGATAACCAGGCCTTCCCTTCTGCCCACTGTTCATACTTAGGAGATGCTGTAGAGCCCCTACTGCACCTTACATAGGGAAAACTCCCTCTTGGAAAGTGCTGGGGGCCCTGAGCCAGGGGTGTGCCCCGTGTTCTGCCCCTCCTTCCCAGCTGCAAGCCAGGAGTGCCCCAGGAGGTTTTGGTGGTGATTTTCAGCTGAGGCTGGAACTTCATCTTCAGGGTTTTGCACATTGCTTCGAGCAGAGCTGTTGGTCTTTGAAGCTCTTTCACCTGTCTCCTGCTCCACAAAGTTGTTCCTCTGAGTGTTTTATCATTGTTGTCTGTGTGGGGCACAATGCTCGAGGTGCTGTGGCAGGAACACTTGGTGCTGCTGTAGCAGGGTGACTGTCCTTCTCTCTAAAACCCAGTACAGCATTTATTGGCTTCTTCTGAAGGCTTTTGGCTCCGAGTTCTGGGCTGATGGTGAAGTGCAGTTTGCAGCTAGCTCCAGCAGGACCAGACAATTTTCTGGTGACTGACTTGCACATGGAGGTGACCAAAAGGACCTTCTGCTTTTGGAAAAGGGATCAGACACACCTATACTTTCCAGAGGCAGAGCTGAGGCCCACAAACACATCCCAGCCTCAGTCCCTGCAGGAGCTGGTGCAGCTGGCTGCCCGGACACGAGGCGATTTCCCGTCCAAACCTGTGGTGGGAGGTAGAGCCATGGGGAGTGCCAGAGAGCATGTGTGGGAGGGGATTGGAAAGCCCCGGCTGCAGAGGGTCTGCTCTTCACTTCTGAAACCAGCTCAGCCTTCTTGTGGTGGCCCAAAAAGTAATAGTTTTGACATCTGCTCCTTGGGGAATGAAAAGCTGTAAGTCACGAGCTTTGAAGTGGAGGCTCATATGGCTCTACGCTGTGAGGAATGCATGGCAGCTGGAATGCAGGTGCGGGAATTGTGGAGAGATTTGGAAAAAGCATCCTGGAGGGTACCACCACTTCATGCTTGTTCATAGTAGAAAGCAATCAGGAGTGGCAGAACGTGTTTTTAAAAATGACAGAAAACCTACTGCTGCTTCAAATGCATTTTGTACTTTCCTCTGCCCTAAGAAATGACTCTTGCCTTCGCACTTGTCTTCAGTACCTGAAACATTGCCTTGGTGTCCCTCTGCCAGCAATCCCCAAATCAAACTCTGTCCGATCAGCCCTAGCAGTTGATGAACAAAACTTCTACACTGAAAACAAGAGTTCCTGCCCTGGGCCTGAACAGAGGTGTGAGCCAGGCCCACAGGAACCCCCACAAGGCTTCTGTTGCCTTTTGTCCTCACTCAGGTGGGCACCAGGGCACTGAGAGCAGTGAGGGTGTGTTGGGTTCCCATCCCCTCACTGCCTGGCCAGCTGGAGCCAACAGTGCCTAGTGATGCAAACTTCATTTTTGGTTTTGACAGTTTCTTTGAAGTGATGCCAAGTGAACTTGCTTGGATCTGTCAACAGCATGTCCCAGCAAGGGAGGAGTTTGTGTCTGGCACCAGCCTGTGTGATGGTCTCAGAAAGTTCCTGTTTGGCACTGGGAATTACAGACTGGGTTCCTGCTTTCCAGCCTTGTGTTGCTGGGCTCCGTGCAGAAGCACAAGGACTGGGTGTGTGGTCACCCTGTGCTGGGTAGCCTGACTCACCTGTGTGGGAAAAGGTTCAAGCAAGCCTAGCATAGAACCAGCTTAGGACTTCCCTGTCAGGAGGAACTGCAGCACAGAAGGGCACGGGGACTTCCGAGTGGCATGTGGCAGCAGAGAGCAGGCACAGGCCTTCCCAGGCATTTTTCCCTGGGGAAGGCTGCGAGGAGTTGTGAGAAAGCTGAGAAAGAATTAAAACAATTATTATCTCCACTTGCTGCACCTGTTGCTAGGCAAATGTGGAATGTGTTATGGAGATCTGTTTACCAAAGGGTGGTGCTGTTTTGGTTGGTTGACCAATTAGGTCAAAGCTGTATTGGATAGGCTGGAAGGGCTTGTGGGTTTCTTAAGAATATAGTATTAATATAGTATAGAAGAATAAAGCAGTGGTTCAGCCCTCTGCATGGTGGAATCAGTGCTAATTACACCTGCGTCAGGGGGACCCCTGTGTTGGCAGGAGCAGGGCATCCCAAAGCACCTGCCTTGTGTGGCACATTCTGTCCTGCAGGCTCTTGAGCCCCTGGGAACCGACAGAGACGCACGAAGCAACCGATGCTTCTTAACACAAAGGATTCAGGTTCCCTCAAAATTCTCTCTTTTATACTGGACACTCATTTTCAGTGTTTTCTCTACAATTCCATGGGCCCACCCTTTTCCTTGTAGCCAGGCTGCTGTGTCCAAGAAACCAAGTGCTGCACATGGCAATGCTGGGGCTGGAGACCACCCAAGCCCTCGTAGCCACCACTGTGCCCTGTGTCATGGCAGCTGGCTTTCCTCTGCCATCATGGTAGTTTTGCTTACTTCTTGTTGCTCCCTTCCAGCTGCCAAGCCTTGAGCTGTCTGCTTATGGTTGCTGTTGCTGTGCTCAGAGGAGAGGAATGGAGTGACTGTCCATGACCAGGGGACTTTGCAGGAGAGCTGCGCTGTGCAGTTCATTCTGAGCCTGTCCTGCTATCCCTTGTCCCTCTGCCAGCCCTGCCCTTTGCTGTGACCTTCCCACAGGCTTTGGCAGAGGTATCTCACAGCAGCTGCTCCAACAGTGGCATTTCCCAGCTGCCTGCCTTGTCCCTTCACTGGAGGGGGAGCCCGGTGTCATGCTGGTGGATTCCTAGCATGGAAGACCTCCAATAAAAAACTGGCCATGTGTGGATGTGGCAGGTTATGAGTGGAGCAGCCAGGCAGCAGGGGCATGTGCTGCTCCACCACCAGAGTGTGGAGATAGTGATTTCCAGCAGAAGCCTCTTCCAGAGTTGAAATTGAATTTAGCGATGCCCTGAGGTGAAATGGTGATCAGGTTAAACTGCAGTTTTCCCCATTGGCTGAGGGAGAAGTAGGGAAGCAGGCTCATCCTGGCATTGCATAGAACCAGAGAATATTCCAAGCTGGAAGTGATCGACAAGGGTCATGCAGTCCAGTTCCTGGCCCTGCACAGGACACCACCAAGCCCACCCTGGGCATCCCTGGCAGCGCTGTCCAAAGGCTCCTGGAGCTCTGGCAGCCTCGGGGCTGTGCCCATTCCCTGGGGAGCCTGGGCAGTGCCAGCACCCTCTGGGGGAAGAACCTTTTCACAATATCCATTCTAACCCCATCCTGACACAAGTCCAGCCATTCCCTTGAGTCCTGTCACTGGCACACAGAGCAGAGATCAAGAGCTGCCCCTCATGAGGAAGCTTCAGAGCTCAGTGTGATCTGCCTTCAGCTTCCTTAGGAATGATCACTGTGTGCTCCAGGGATCAGCTGCCCTTATTAAAACCCACTTTTCCCTCTGTATGCCTGCACTCCCCTGCGCAGCTGCAGTGCAGAGTGCTGGCTTGCTGTCTGGGATGAAACAGCCTCATCCTTCTGCCAGAGTGTCCAGAGAGAAACTTTGTCTGCAAATACTGCAAATTTAAATAATGTACAGCTTTTCTGCTTTCCTGATACTGAGGTGGAAGATTCCCAGTAGAAACATGCAGCTCCATTTGCTAGTAGGCCTGCAGGCAGATGAGAGGGCTCAGCACCTTTGAGCAGCCTGGAGAAGAGAAGGCTGTGGGAAAACCTCACTACAGCCTGTAAGTGCTTAAAGGGAGCTTGTAAAAAGATGTAGAGAGACTTTTTACATGGACAGATAGTGACAGGAAAAGGGGGAGTAGTTTTAAACTAAAAGAGCAGAGATTTAGATTAGATGTTGAGAGGAAATTCTTCCCTGTGAAGGTGGTGAGGCCCTGGCACAGGTTGTCCAGGGCAGCCGTGGCTGCCTCATCCCTGGGAAGTGTCCAAGGCCTGGTTGGATGGGACTTGGAATGACCTGGGATAGCCGAAGGTGTCCCTGCCTACGGTAGCAGGGTGGAATGAAATTGGCTTTAAGGTCCCTTCCAACCCAAACCATTCCATTATTCTGTGATTCTGATTTCCCTCACACACAGTCCCTGACTCTGATCCTCTCGGTTGCCCTGATCCTTCCATGAGCTGTGGTGTCTGATTTACTAACCTTTCCAGTGAGCTTCCAGAGAATGACCTCTCTGATGGTGGTGGGTGATGGGCAGGCTGCTGTGGGGTTGTGTCACTGTTTATTATTAGGGAAGGAAATTTATCAATCATCAGCTTTGGTTTTAATTCAGTGGGGAGAACCAGGTGTTGCTGAAGGCTGTTAACTGCCTCATTTGATTTTCCTGGTCCTGCTGTTGGATGCTGTAGGCTGGTGTGTGCCTTGCTGGGTGAGCCATTGACTTCCAGCTCCACTTTAATTCTTCCATGGCTGTCCCCTCTCTCTGATGCCTTTGCAGCTTGATTTCCACTCTGGTTTCCCTCTGGGAGAGTGCCTGCTCTTGCCTAGTCCCACTCACAGTCATAGATGGCTTTCTAGAGCTCCCAAAAACTTTCCAAGCAAGTGCCTGAATGTGAGTGGTGCTTATCCCTGTAGCAGAAGCTACAGCTGTGGCTTGGGAAAGACATAAACAGGAGGATTGCCCCATTTCTGGGGGAGTGGAGTGTGGCAGATCAGGTCCAAGTGCCAACCCCTGCTCTTGGCTCCAGGGTGGGTTGGACTTCTTCCAGGAGTGATACCATCCATCTCTGTTCTGACACCCACGTGGGGCAGGAGGAACAGGGGTTTCCAGAAGAGCCTGAAACTGTTTATACAGAAATGTTTGGATCTGTGCTGGCTGAAGCTTCTGGGTGTCTTTAACTATTTACATGCAGAACAGTTGCTCTTTGAGCTCCTTCCCGTGCTGCAGGCAGGGCTGCCCACTCTTGGGCGTTACACTGTGGTGCAGAGGGGAATCAGGATGGAGAATAAGTGCTGGGAGGTGGGGAGTGTGGAGGGGGTGGTAGTTTCACGCCCGTGTGTTGGCATGGGAAACCGTACGTTTAAAATACTCCCTTTTAAAATAGTTGCCTCTGCAGTGAAGTTTCCTTCTTTCAGCCAGACCATCTGTTCTGCCAGTGCTTTGTGGGTCATGGGGTAGATGTTATTGGGTGTTTCTAGAACATGAGAGCAGTAGGTGGGTAGAAAAACGGTCTCACTCACTCTGAGTGAGTGCAATAAAGGCAGGCACTTGGCCTCCTCCTCTGCAGGCAGCAGCGTCCGTGCTGGCAGCAGTGCCCTCCAAACCCTGCTGGCTGGCCAGTCATCTCTCCAGGGGCACACGGTGAAACTCTGAGCTTAAGTTACTCACTTAAAGCATAAAAAGGAGAGAGTGACCGAGAAGCCGGGGTGGAGTTACTGCTGGTTTCACTTTCCACTTCCTGATGTGTGACAGGGTGAGAGGTTTGTGTGTGTTCCCCTAGAAGGCAACAGAGATTCATTGTGACCAAGTTTTCAAACATCTGGGTTCAGATGGCTGCAGTAAAAAAGCTCCTGGTTGGTTTTCTTTTCTGTCCCTACCATGTCAGGAGACTTCTGTGCTCTTATATTTTACTTTGAGTTTTGATCTGCATATTCATGGTGTTTCCAATGCCTTGTTTCAGCTGGTGGGTGTATAACAGGAAGGTTTAAGCAGTGTGGAAATGGCACAGAAGCAGTGGCATGTTCCAGCATTCCATTTAGCCAGCACTGTTGCCAAAGAGTCTACTGAGGACAGAGGATCACGTTGCCCTGGTCGTTTGTTCAACCTCTCTGGCCATCATCCAACCCTGAGTCTGGCTGCAGAGGCAATTGCTTGTGTGCAGGGACTGCTAAATGAAACAGTTTAAAAATAATTTTCTTTCTGCTTGAAAAATGGTATTCTAATTCAAATGTGAAGATACAATCAGACAGCTCAGCCTGGCATGTGATGAGCTGTCACGGGGCCTATGCCTCAGCTGACTGATAACCATTACAGTGGAAAAACTGCCCAAATTATCCTGCTGAGGTAGTGGCTCACTCCACTCAACCTGCATCAACGTGTCTTCTCCTGGCAGAGCCATAAATGGAGTTTCCCGTTGTTATCTTGGCCATCAAAGCAATAATTTGAATTTTTTAAAAATCGTTTTAGCATCTTTTAAATAGAAGTTGAGGCTACGTAGGTACCCAAAATTGGGGTAACCTGGAGGTCACACGATGAGTCAGCAGCTCAGAGGGATCAGCATGACTAAGGTCTGAGTGTAGGTTGGTAAATCCAGTGTTTGTCTGTAATAGGGTATAAAACCACCCCCTTGGGACTGTGCCCATCACAGAACCTCCATGAGCCTTTTATTTGAGGACAAATATCTCCTGTATGTTCCTTCACAGGCTCATGATGAAGTCTGCCCTGAATTCCCGCTGACTTGTGAAGGCTGTGGGAAGAAGATTCCCAGGGAGAAGGTATCCATCCGACTCTGTGCCCTGGGGGTATTTGGTGTCCTGATGGGCTGAACTTGGCGTTCTGGCAGCAGGGAGGAACAGAGTCCATTAGGAAATGAAGTGGGGAAAACAACTGAGTGGCAGCTGTTAATGTGGATGTGAGTTTTCCATAAGGATGGGTGTGAGGTAACGTGGCTCAGGGGCACTCCAGGTCAGTGTCAGTGCTGCCACTGCCACCTCCCTTGGAGCCATGTACGGGAGCAGAGGCTCTGTGGGAAAAGCACACTCATGGGTTTATGTTCTGTGTGGGCAACTGCATCCACTACTGCTGCAGTTTTGGAAAGAGAGCCCATCTCCAGCTGTATTAATTGATATCTAAGTAATAATCTAATGGAATCCATGCCTATAGCATTTCCAGGCTGCTGGCTCCTGGGACAAGGCTCAAAAGTCTGAAAAATTCAAGTTTTGGGAAACATTTTCAAAAAGCACATGCATCTGAAACCATCTTGCCTTCTACAGGCAAATATTTTTAGTAGCAGTGTTGGAAAAAGCCCTTTAGCAGGGCAGGGCAACAGAAGTGGCAAAAGGAGGAGCAAAAGAGTTCTTCCAAATGGGCAGCATAAGGAGGGGCTGGGGGTGGTGGTACAGCCCAGCTTATCTGCAGGCTGGGGTTTGGGGTACAACCCAGCTTATCTGCAGGGGGGAGCTGAAGCCCTGCAGGAAGCCAGCTCATGGGGTTCCCATGGGTGATCTACTCTGTGTTTAAATATTAACTCCTGTGTTTATTTCTCCAAACTCTTGTTCATTATTTGTTGCCATGTTAACTCAGAGTAACCCACTCATTACACAAGCCAGATGGATATAGAAGCCTTTAAAAAAGTGGTTTCAAATCACTTTTAATTGACATCTGTTGTGGCAGATGTAGGAGTTAAGTGGGGAGGGAATATGGTGGTTGTTCAGAACAGAGCTTTGGTATCTGATGGTGAGGGGTGTACTAAACCCAAGATGAAGCTGTGACAGTGCTCCTTGGATTAATCATGCGCTGTGTGGGAATCTGAACAAGTTATCTCAGTGCTGAGGGGTTAGTGGCACCTCTGTAGAAATGTAATGCTGGGATGGAGGTAAAAATACCAGCCTGTAGCATGTCCTTACCAGAGTTGTGTGAAGTGCCCAAGAAGGATGTGTCCTTGTTTCTTGAGATTGTTGCCTGTGCCTCCCATTCTTCAGCCCTCAGGGAAGCTCATTATTCTGCATCCGCAGCTTGTACCTGTGCCCATTGCTTTTTCACTCTTGCATGTGCTTGTGGGCAGTGAGACCTCCCAGCCATGAAGAGAAGGAGAAATTAGGCTTTCTTCAGGTGTCAGGGCTGTATTTGTATTGCGGTGAAAGTCACGCCTGGTGGCGGGCAGGGCCCAGGTTTAGTGGGCGCTGTGACAGCTGGTGATCAGCCGTAGCTTGGCCATCCTTCAGCTTGGCTGTAGTTTCCCAAATGCCAGTGGGATGGAAAGGGAGCACTAGGGACACATAAGATCTAATACTGCCTTCCTCCCTCCCTTTCTAGTTTCGGGACCATGTGAAGACGTGTGGCAGATCCAAAGTACCTTGCCGGTTCGAGGCTGTGGGCTGTGCTGAGGTGGTAAGGACTCCTCTCTGGGTTACCTTGGCGCTTTTCAGTCCCAGCATTAGAGTTGCTGCAAACTGCTGTTACCCAAACTGTCACATCTGTTTTCCTTCAGGTATTTGATTAAACCCATTGCACATGGAGCTTCACATCATCCGCTGTGCGGTCTGGGCGTCCCAGGCATTAAATTCCTGTGGAAGGAAATCTCCTACTTTAAGAGCACCCTAAGTGCTTTGGGACTGTGGTGGTTATGCTTCTTTCAGGGGGAATGGCTTCACACTGCCAGAGGTCAGGTTTAGATGAGATTTTTAGAAAGAAATTGTTCCTTGTGAGGGTTGGGAGGCCCTGGCACAGGGTACCCAGAGGAGCTGTGGCTGTCCTTGGATCCCTTGGACAGGATGAGCTTTAAGATCTCTTCAAGAAAGTGTGTAATGACTTGTGATTACCGTGATTCTGTAAGCAAAGTACTGGAGCCAGGCCATTTCTCTATGTCACTTAGTTCTTGCAGGTCCCCCTGGTTCAAATAAATCCGTCCTCCAGGAGGTTGTGTGAGGCTTTGTCCTTTGTTGCTGTTAGGTACATCTGACAGAGCTTTTCTGGGAGGAAGTTAGAGCAGACTAGTACAGCTGGGGGAAGCGTTTAGCATCCCTCATTGTATGTGATTTGAAGCATTTCTAAAACAAACAAAAACCCAAACCACCCCCACCAAAACACATTTTTAAATTATTTCATTGGTTTCTCCCCTATAAATTATAAATTTAAAACTGATTTTGTGACCTGGATAGGAGGAATTTGTTCTGTGGATGGTGACAGTGTAGCTGCACATGCTGAATGGGGGATGTATTTCTCTTCATGTAGGTGGAAAATGAAAAGCTCCTGGAACATGAAAGGAAGTGTTTGGCAGAGCATCTCTACATGCTTCTGAGCTCTGTGCTCAGCCTCAAGACTGGTGCTGGGGACCTGAAACCCCTTCCTGTTCCTTCCTCATCACAAAACAGCTCCCCACTTCTGGCAGCAAACTCACTGTGCTCGGAGTCGGAGCTCTCCCGGTCCCTGGAGCTCTTGGGAAGGTGTGAGGCCCTTGAGAGGAAAACAGTTACCTTTGAGAACATTGTCTGTGTGCTTAACCGGGAGGTGGAGAGAGTTTCCCTGACAGCTGAAGCCTACAGTCGCCAGCACCGGCTGGACCAGGAGAAAATTGAAACACTGAGCAACAAGGTGTGTAACTGCTCACCTGGGCTTTCCAGCACTCCCAGCAGAGGCTGTTTCCTGTTTCCTTTCCGTGTCATGAGCTAGCAAAGCTTCAGCACTCGACCCTGAAACTCCACAAATCTGAAGGCAGAACTAAAATAGCCGTTGTGCCTGTGCCCAACCCTCAGCAGCTCCCTGGAAAAGCTGGGAATTTAACTGACCTGTGTAAAGCATCAAACCTCTGTTAATTATCAAACTGGGCAAGATACCGAGGGGTTCTTCCTCAGCAAAGTTTTCTGACAACAGCCAGAGCACCCAGAATTTCGCTGCATCTCCTTGTGCTGCATCTCACTGAATCTGTGGGGCTGCTCACCTTCCAGACTTTTCCAAAGGAGTGCTGCCTTTGCCAAAGGAGTGCCATCAGTGCTGCTGCCTGCAGCAACAGGCTGGAGGTGTGAAGGAGCTGCCTCCACCAGTCTGCTCCAGCACAATCCCTGTGGAGGGCTCCTAGTGTTCCTGGCACCTGGAGCTGTGCAGTTTGCAGTGTACCTGTGCTCTCTGGGCAACTGATCTGGCGTGACACTGTGTGAGCTGGCAGGGACGAACCCTCCAGAGGGTGTAGGTTCTTTTCTTTCTTAATTTAGTTTTGTCACAATGCTGAGTTATTGGGGATTTTTTTCCCCATTCTCACTTCTTGTGCTGCTCAGCCAATGGAGCAGCTCCTTGGAAGGAGTTTTACATTGTCTACGGGAAAGTTCCCAGCTCAAGCACTAAGCTGTATTGATGGATCTTCTCCAGAGTGACAGGGTGCAGACAGAAGCTTCAGTGAACTGGCTTAAGTTGCTTGGTTTCTCCCTCCCATGCTCCCTGTCCGTTCTGGAGAAAGTCTCTCATAAGAAGCAGTCCCGGATGCCGGGCTCTGTTGGGGTTTGCCGGCTGAGCCTGCGTGTTTCTAACTGCTCCCTGTGTCCCACTGAGCAGGTCCGGCAGCTGGAGAGGAGCATTGGGCTCAAAGACCTGGCCATGGCCGAGATGGAGGAGAAGATCCGCAGCATGGAGGCTTCCACCTACGATGGGGTTTTCATCTGGAAGATAACGGAGTTTGCCCGGAAGCGTCAGGAGGCGATAACAGGCCGCTCTCCTGCCATCTTCTCTCCAGGTGTGCAAAATCCCCAAAATCTTTTGCATCTCAGCTGCGTGTGGGTCTCATGACAGGTCCTTTTCTTGGGAAATGTTGCCAAGGCCAGGCTGAGAAAAGAAATATTCCATGTGGAAGGGGGTGTTTTGTTTTGGAGGGTGAAGCATGCAGACCAGTGCTGTTCCAAGAGGGAAGAGAGGGCTGAGAGGAGAGAAGTGCAGGCTGTGGATGGGATGAGAAAGGGAATTGGCTGTAATTGTTTGGTTTGCATTAAATGTAAAGACAAGGAAATACCAGCTGATATCTGTGTTAAAGAAAAGGAAGTGGAGATTCTGTGTGCAGTGTTGTGAGGAGAGAGTGCCGCGGGGTTTGGAAAAGGGCAAAATCTTGAGTTCAAAACAGCGAGTTGTACAAGGAAGGTTCATTCAGGGCCTGATCCGCCGCACGCCAGGGTGAAGCTCATCAGTCGGGAGGGGGGAAGGGGGAGGGCCTCACTGGGTTTTTGCTCTGCTCCTTGCCTGGGCCAGGGAGAGCAGGATGCCCAGCTGCATGGTCACTCTCCCTGGCTACTCCCACCACTCTAGCCATCTTTCCTTCTGTTCCTCCATGGGTTTTACATTCAAAGGATGATGGGAGTGCTGAGAAGGCCTAGAGGGGCAAGTGGGGATATTCTCCTTGGACTAGCAAAGGGGTCATCTGTCCTGAGAGCCTTGGAGTGAAGCAGGTGGGGAGGAAGGAGCAGAGGAAATGAGCTGGGCATTTCCAAGAGGGACGCAGTGACAAAGATCCGATCTGTTGCTCCTCACCCTGTGGAAGAGCAGTGTCTCTGCTATTCATAGTCTGCCTGTTGGGAAAAGCACCAAGTCCTGCAGTAAAATATTGGCTGTGACCCCTGATCTCTGCCTGTGCCTGCTGAGCCTCGCCAGTCCCAGATGTACCGCTCTGTGCCGCTGTGGGAGGGTAACTTGTGGCAGGTCCCCTTCCAAGCTGTGACCCCACATAGGTCTAGTGTCACACCACAGGCATTCCCAGGACTGCTGGGGAAGGAAAGTGCCTGACATCCCATCCCAGCCATGTCCAAGCCATGCTGTGGGGATCCAAATGAGAATTAAATTTCACTTGCTTGAGCCCCTGCCCAGATCAGAGGCACCAGCTCACAGTGGGGCTGTTGAGGGTGCTCTGCCGGCCAGGTGCTTTATGGAGGGGGTTTGTTCCTGGTCACCGGTGTTACTGCCATGAACCACCGCTCCTTCAGCACTGGGGTGCAGGAGGATTGGCCCAGCTCTGGGGCAGATCTTCCCTGGTAGTGAGGGGACAGCCAGGGGACTGGCAGCTGTTCTGTGCACAGCTTCTGCTCTGGCCAGGGGCTGCACTGCCTGGCCTTGGGCTTTCCAGACCACCTCTGGTGCAGCCCAGACCTGGCTTCTCCCAGATTCCAAACTTCAGAGCCCTCAGAGTTCAGAGAGATCTGCTGGTGCCAGGCTGTGCTGCACTGGACCCTCACTGTGCCTGTTCCACACTTCTCTAACAGCTTTCTACACCAGCAAGTACGGCTACAAGATGTGTCTGCGCGTGTACCTGAACGGGGACGGCACCGGCCGCGGGACCCACCTGTCCTTGTTCTTTGTGGTGATGAAGGGACCTAACGACGCGCTGCTGCGGTGGCCCTTTAACCAGAAGGTGGGTCTGGAGCAGAGCTCACTGTGTCCATCTGCGGCCTCTCTGGTTTAGCACCCACTCGAGCTTCTCAGCACTGTCACTCCTGCCTGCTTGGCAAGGCAGAGGAAGGGCTCTGTATTGGCTGCCCTGGGAGTTCCCCAGGTGTGCTGAGACCACCAGCTGTGCTGTGGGGCAAGGGGGTGACATGGGCTGTTTGGAACCGCACAGAGCCTCTGCAGGGGTTGAGGGCAAGGGAAGGTTGTGGTGGCCTGAGAGCTCAGGGGCAGCAGGTGCTCACTCCCTGTCAGGAGCTCAGATCCCAGCTCCTGGGTACTGCAGGTTTGTGGAACGCGTGGAGGCTGAGTGAGTTGGCACGAGCAGATGCAGAGAGGACAACAGCCCTCTGTGCAGGCTCAGGGAAGTACCTGAGTGTCGGTTCTGAGAGCAGAGTGTAGGTTTTCAGTCAGTCTGACAGACTGTGCTGCCACAGGGACGTTTCCAGTAACAAGCAGGATGTGGGGATGGGGAAGATTTCTACAGGACATTACTGAGGTGATGTTCTCTGCTGGTCCCACTCAGAGGCGTTTCTCTGATTTGCAGGTGCTCAGGGTGGCTGTGGCTGCTGGTACCTGCATGTGTCACAGCAGGTCACTGGGCTGGGCTTCCATGTGTCTTCTATTCAGCCACTCCCTTATGCTTTCACCTTTCCCCACAGGTCACCCTGATGCTTCTGGACCAGAATAACCGGGAGCACATCATCGACGCCTTCCGCCCTGACGTGACATCCTCATCCTTCCAGCGCCCTGTCACGGAGATGAACATCGCCAGTGGCTGCCCCCTCTTCTGCCCCGTGTCCGTCATGGAAGCCAAGAACTCCTACGTGCGGGATGATGCCATCTTTATTAAAGCCATCGTTGATCTCACAGGCCTCTAACCCTCCTGACCTTGGAGCAGTGAGCATGGAACCAGCACTGCCCAGGGCATCTCCCACTTGTGCTGCACCTCAGGCAGGTCTCAGAGCAAGAGAGAGGAAAATCCCTTCCTGAAAGGGACCTTTGCTCTGAGTGGAAATGAGGTGTCTGATGGGAGCCCTCTTTACTGAGGGTTGGGTGGACACTGGCAGGCTGTGGAATGTGGAAGATTCCCTGCAGAGACTTGGATGTCTGAACTGCTGCTCTCTGGACTCCAGTGGAAACCAGTGCAGCTCTTGCTCTACCAGCTTAGCCGACATCCACAGCTCTCTGTAGTAAAACAGCGGTTTGCCCTGCCTGAGCTCCACCTCCTGTGGATTTTGGCTCAGCTGTCTAGGATTTCCTTCTGAGATCTCTGTGTTTCTCGAAGCTGTGCCCTGTGGGGTGCCGTGGCTTTGCACTGCTGGTTGCTCCACACCCCGGGAGACAAGGAGGGTGTGTGACAGCTGCAGTGCCAGCTGGGAAAGAGAGACACAGACTGGTTTGATGCCGTTGCTGTGTTAGGAGGGTGCTGAGCCCAGCTGCAGGGCAGGGGAGCCCTGAGTCCAGCCTTGCTGGGTGTGTGATGGGTGGTGTGTGCTGGAGTGTGGAATGGGGCAGGAGGTGCTGCTGCCCAGGAGGGACCTTGAGGCAGCACCAGGGATGCCTTTGGGGAAGAAGTGAATCTGTTGTAGAGATTGTCCCTCCTGTGCCAGGAGAGGAGGGTGACAGAGCTCGGTGTGCACCCTGAGAGTTCCACGCCCTGCCCCTCTCTGCCCTGTGTGCCGAGCAGCACTGGGTGGGATGGGTGCTGTGCTGGGAGCTGTCTTTGCTCATAGGCAAAGACAGAGAACTGGCTTCGTTCCCACGGTGGGACAGCTCCACCAGCCTTCCCAGGGCTCCTGCTGCTGAGCTCCACATCCATCTGTGGCTGCCCTGTCCTGTCTGTCTGGGCACTGCAACCTTGGGCTGTGGGATGTGTACTGTCTGCCCATGCAGTGGGCACTGCTGGCCAGCCCCTGCACTCTCAGCGCCTGCAGTCACCAGCAGCAGGTCTCCCTCACTGTTCCTCCCCATCCCTGAGCTCAGGAGTCATGGGCCACCTGGTTCCAGGCAGCACCTTGGAGCTCTTCCTCCACTTGGGCGCACGTTGAATCTGCAGCCAGCTGGGTAGGATCTGGGGGCTGGAGAAGTGAAGTGTGCTGTCCCTTTTGTGTCCCTGGATTCCTTCCCTCTGGGCAGCACATGTTCAGCAGCCATGAGAAGGTGTCTCGGTGTTAGTGGGGAAGAACAGGCTGCCACATCCCTGCATAGTGCCCTGTGCAGCTTTATTGTGGCCACGGGTAGCTCTGGATTGGCCCTGATCCAGGGTGTTGCCTCCTTTGCCTGCTTCCCACACCCCTGTCAGTGGATGAACGTGCCACAGGAGATGTTTTGTTGATGACAGGAACGAGCTGTGAACACCCTGCAATGATCAGGGGCCCTGGCTGGCTCTTGTGCTGCTCCTCGGGCAGTGGGGCTGGAGCATGGTCACCCTCCTCAGTGGCTGCCAGGGATCGGCCCTCCACTGCCAGCAGCTCCTGCCAGGTGCCCAGCCCGGGTCTGATGGCTGCAGAGCCTGCCAGGCTTGTGATCTGCTCACACCTTGGCTCTGGCACAGCCACCCTGAGGGGTCCAGAACACCATCAGGCTCTGCCCTGGCAGGGAGCCCTGCAGGGTCTGGCTGTCCCCCCATGTGCTGACACAGCCCTGACCAGCCCTGGGGCTGTTTGGAATGTCCCTGCTGCTGCCCAGGAACTCAGGGGCCTCTAACCCTCCTGACCTTGAAGCAGTGAGCAAGGAACCAGGAACTTGGAGCAGTGAGCATGGAACCAGGAACTTGGAGCAGTGAGCATGGAACCAGGAACTTGGAGCAGTGAGCATGGAACCAGGAACTTGGAGCAGTGAGCATGCCCAGGAACTCAGGAGTGCCCAATGCCCTGCAGGCTGAGCTGGACCCTGGCCCAAGCTGAACTTCTTGCACCCACGGCTGCTGTGCTGGCCAGGTGCTCTCCAGACAGGTGCTGGGGTGACCTGTGAGCCCCCTTTGGAATTGCTGCATGGAACTTCTCACATGTGTGTGCAGGGTCTGGGGACAGACCCAGCCCCTGTTGTTGGGGGAGTGGGACAGAAGCTGGTGACAGCACAGCCTGAGGTGGGACAGGGGTCACAGGACCCTTCCTTTTGTGCAAAACCCCCTCCAGCCTGTCCCAAGGGACAGATCAAGCCCTGTGTTGCTGCTCTCACCCTGTGCCTTATGAGGAAAATCCAGGCTAGCAGAGCCCTGCTCTCATCTACAGCAGCTCCCCAGGGATGCTTGGAGAAGCCTGGGAAGGGAGAGGAAGGTCAGCTCTGCTCATAGAATTTCTGGGAGTTAAGTGTCATGTGGGGGGGAGCTTGTTCTGTGTTGATCAGAATGTCTGCTCATGGGGTGCTGCCTGCAGCGGGGCTGGGGGCTCTGGCCAGGTAGTGCCAGGAGGGACTGTGGAGACACTGGCTCAGCTGGGGGGATCTGGGCTGCTTTCAGGGTGGGAGCTGGTCCTCCCGCCCCAGCACATGTTTGGAAGGTCTGTGGGAGAGTCGATGCTACAGCAAAGCTCAGGCTGAGCTCTTCAGGCCACGGGCTTACTGCTGGAGGGGAAACATTGCCTGTCAACCCCTCCCACTGGGAGCTTTTTCCTCCCCACCCTTCTGGTACTGCTGATGCTGTCCGGGCCTTTTTTGGCTCTTAGCAGCTCTGGAGCTGGCAGCAGGAATTGTGCTTATGTGCTGCAGGCAGGGGCCCTGTCCTGGGCACAGCTCTGCCAGCCTGGCAGCCACATGGACAAACACTGGACACAAGCCACCCCTGGATTTTTGTAGGGTTTTTTTTTCCCTTTTGACTACACTGTCAGCCTGGCACTGTGAACTGGGTTTTGTTTTTCTTGAGGGTGTAGTATGGTCAGAACCACTAATAAAAGCTGTTTGAACAGCATCGCTGTGTATGAGCCAGGGGGTCCTGGGCACAGCATGGGGGAGGATTGCATCAGGGTAAGGGGTTTCTGTGCTGGGGGATTAATTCTGTGCTGGGAACTCTCCCCAGCTCCTGTGTCCCTGCAGGAGATTCTCAGACAAGGAGAGAATGGCGGGGGGGGGGTGTCTGTAATGGGAAGGGAAGGAGCTGGGGTCTGGCTGCTGGAGCTCCACTGGGCAAAAGGCCAGTGGGAGCCAGTGCAGCAGTGCTGGGCCAGTGCTTCCAGTGGTTCCACTGCTGCTAAGGCAAATCCAACACTCCTGTTCCTGGGTTGTAACAGCTCTGAGCTCCTCCAGAACAGGCTGCTTTTCCCTCACTGCTGTTGGGAGCCCAGTGCCTGCAGGATGCCTGTTCCTGCCCTCCCAAGCTGCAGCACCAGCCCAGGGAATAAACCTGAGGGCAGCAGCCTGGTGGCCTTTACTCACTGTGTATGGAAGGGAGAAACACAAGGAATGACCATGGGCACCTGTCCCCTCTGGGAAGCCCTCAGATCCCCTTCATACCACAGCAGCTGCTGCACCAGGGAGATGCAAAGGGCAATGAGGGGACAGTGGCATTGCGGCTCAGGAGGCTGCTGTGGCACAGGAATGCCAAACAGCATTGGAGGGCTCTCTGCTTACCCCTGTTCTGTGCCTGTTAGTGCTTGGAAAAACATAAATCCAGGAGGGATCTAGCCGCTGGCCTGTCCTGGAGCCTGCAGTGTTCAGCCCTGGCTGCCATGGGGGCTTGCTGCCCTTGGGCCATCCCCTGCCTCTCTCCTGTTGCTCACAGCTCTAGCCACACGCCCCCCACCAGGGCAGGTAACCACAGGCTGGGCAGCAGCTCCTGCAGTGCTCCAGCCCAGCCCTGTGACAGTCCTGGCCTCAGCTCTGCTTCAACAGCACAGTGCTTGGAAAAACAAGCTCACATTGCAGAGATGCTTTAGCAGAGTATTTATTCAATGCCAGAGTGAAGAGCAAAACTCAGTACAAACAACACCTCAGTGCCTTGCTTGCTGCTGCACTGAGCCATGGGTGGAGAGTTCACAGTTGGGGGAGGAAGGGGAGGCCGTTCCTTCACTGTGTGACTGGACAGAGTAGGATGTGGAGCCTGTGTGCACACACAGGAAGGAACCCCTAATTTCATGACAGAAAACCTGAGTACGGGGGTTTTGGATGAAGCTGGGGCACAGCAGGACACAGGTGCTGACCCTCCTGCTGCAGAGGCTGTTAAAGCCATCAGTGCCATTGTGACAGAAGATGCCACCTCTGTCAGGTTTATCAGCAACCCCAGATTGGGAGTGGCACAGGCACCTGCACTGGAGCTTCCAGGGGGGCCCCAAAATTCCTCCCCCTCTGGTTCCTTCCCAGCCCTGCTTCCAGGAGTGACAGCAGCTCCTCAGGACCCCATCTAGGTCAGGTCAAGATTAGGAGCTTCATTTTAGGCTCTGACATTTGGGTACTTGCTACAGGGACAGAAGCTCAAGGGACAGACAGTGAACACCACTGAGTCCATAATAACTCCAAGTGACCATCCCCGCTGCCTGTGGGGTCCTGGAGGAGCTGACCCCCTCCATGGTGGGTCAGCCCCAGGGACAGGGAGCTTATTCAGCTGTCAGGAGGGCAGCAGCTGCAGGCAGGAGGGCTCCATCCCCATCACCTGCAGGAGAATGAATACCTGCAGCACTTGTGGGTGCCTACACCTATTCACAGAGAACATACCAAAAGAACCTAAAGTGCCATGGGTAGCATGGGCAGGAGGTAAGCTGTCCTCATGGGTACCCCAGAAAGAGACAGCAGATCCCCCGCAATAAATACGTTCCCGATCCATAGCTTATTGAAGTGCTACTCAGAGGAAGACAGAGGCAAAGCCAGCACCATGTGACCACCAGCCCTCCCCCCTCCCAAGTTTGGAAACTGGCAATACCAATACACAGACCCTGGGGCCAGTCAGGCTCCCAGCCCTGGCCCTGCTGCCCCCTCACTGCCCCCAGTCCCTGCTGCCCTCCTGGGCAGAGGTGCCATGGGGAAGAGGCACTTGACATTCCGCAGCAGCCAGACGAGTTGCCCATGGAGCTTTGGGACAAACACACATTAATAAAACGCCAATATTAAGAAAGTCCTGCAGTCAGGCAGCACAGCTGCACCGTGGCTCCTGCCACTCTGCAGCTGGTGGCTCCCAGTGTGGCTGGCCACGTACCCAGCTCACACAGGCCCACACTGGACGTGCCTCAGTGTCCCCTGTGCCAGAGCTCACCCAGAGAGCTATGCCCAAGTAGCGATGCTGGTGAGAAGCTGTGGGAGCCCACCCTGCAGTGACCAGCTCAGCTGCTGCCCAACAGAACCACAACAGGGCCCCAGCTCTTATGTCCTGTCTGAAGCCGATGCTTCAAGGAGGAGGCGATTCCTGCTGCCAGGGCCCCTCCTGGCTCAGCCATAGGATCTGTGTGCCTAGAGCTCATCTCTGTGCAGGGCTCAGGGCTCTGTGAGATCAGAAGGAGGTGCTGCAGTGAGGAAGCTGCAGGAGCAGATGTACCTGGGTTCAGCTTTTCTGGTTCAAGAGCCAGGAGAAGAGCAGTTTCCTGGGCCGCGGCCTCCTGGCCTGCCGGATGCGCACGGCCCGTGGGGACCGCCACACCTTGATGGTGGTGTCATCACTGGCTGTCAGCAGCAGCTCCTGCTCCACCGGGCTGAATGCCACTGAGTTCACCACGTTGTCATGCTGCAGCTTGGCCAGGCAGATGTTGTAGTGCCGGTCCCAGATGTAGCCGTGTCGATCCTCTGCCCCGCTGGGGTGAAGAGACAGTGGTCAGGGTGTCCCACAGGTCCCAGTGTCAGCCCAGCAGCCCCAACACCCTGCCCTTCCCACTCCTGTCCTTCCACAGGGAGGGGGGCAGAGGGTACCCAAGCCCCTGTCTCCATGAGCTTCATACTTCACAGGCAGCTCCCTCTGGGATCCAGGGCCCCTCAGCTCACCCCGCAGCACCTACAGCCCCAAGAAGGGCATTTGCCACCTGCCACCAAACACACCACAGCCCCAGATTTACCCTTTCCTCCGGGATTTACAGCAGGACCAGGGCAGCCACCCTTTACTAGCACTTTGCAAGTCAGTCCCTCTGTTCTTGCCAGTCCCACTCCCTTCCAACACGCAGGAGTGTTCTGCTCACCTGACCATCACATAGCAACAGGCCCAGGCCTTCCCAGATGCAGGATCAGGATCCTGCCCACCCCCTCACCTCGCTACAAAGTCCCTGCTGACGTCCAGGAAGATGAAGAAGCACTCCTCATTGGGTGTGTAGGCCCGGTGTGCGCGCAGCGCTCGCTTCACCTCCTTCATGGTCTTCAGGTCAAAGACGTGCAGGTCGATCTCCTCCGCGATGGGAGGCGGCTGCATCGGATCCGAGATGACGCAGTCCCGTGGCCAGGCCCGGCTGTTCACGTACAGGTACCTTGGGGAGGGCAGGGAGGGGTTACCTGCACTGCACCAGAGCTCACAGAGCCCCCTGGCACAGCAAGGATGAAGCTTGCAGCCCAGCTCACTGAAATCCAGGCTGAAACAGGGAACAGGCTGCTGGAACGCTCCTGGCCATGGAAAGGACCACTGCACCTGAAAGGTGATGCTAGGGGTCAGGTGACACCTCTCTAATCTCACTGAAACTATCTTTAAGGATGGGGTTGTCCTCTGGGCAGCACATGAAAGGGGGCTCTGCCCCTCTGCTCCATGCTAGGGGTCAGGTGACACCTCTCTAATCTCACTGAAACTATCTTTAAGGATGGGGCTGTCTTCTGGGCAGCACATGAAGGCTCTGCCCCCCTGCTCCGTTCAGGTGAGGCCCCACCTGCAGAGCTGCCTCCAGCTCTGGGAACCCAACAAAGAAGGATGTGGAGATGCTCAACTCCAGAGAAGGCCACAGAGATGCTCCAAGGGCTGGAGCCTCTCTGCTCTGGAGCCAGGCTGGGAGAGCTGGGGGTGTTCAGCTTGGAGAAGAGAAGGCTCCAGAGACACCTCAGAGTCCTTTCCAGTGCCTAAAGGGGCTCCAGGAGAGCTGGAGAGGAACTTTGGACAAGGGATGGAGAGACGACACAGGGAATGGCTTCCCACTCCTAGAGGGCAGGGATTGATGGGATACTGGGAATAAACTGTTCCCTGTGAGGGTCGGAAGGCTCTGGCACATGATGCCCAGAGCAGCTGTGGCTGCCCCTGGATCCCTGGAAGTGTTAAAGGTCAAGTGGACAGAGCTTGGAGCAGCCTGGAGTAGTGGAAGGTGTCCCTGCCCGTGGCAGGGGGTGGGGAATAGATGTTTTTTAAGCTACCTTCCAACACAAACCATCCTAGGATTCTTTGGGTGATCTACCTCAGGAACAAGACACATTGGTGTGGGCAGCTTCTCCACTCTTAGAAGGAACCACCCTGTCCTGAGCTGGCTCAGGAACACATTCCTGCCATGGCTGGGGGGGAAGCTCAGCAGTAACACACCATCATCACCTGGATCAGCAGGCACCCAATTCATCAGGCACCATACTTCATGTCCTGATCACCCCACAGAGCCTGTGAGCAGCTCTTGCCCACCCTGGCAGTTGCTGAAGCCCTCTGTGCTCACCGGTGGTCAGGGGAGAGGCCCATGCCAATGATGTGCCCATGGATGTCGATGACGTGATCCAGGGAGTCAAAGAACTCATCCGAGCGCCGTTCCTCCCCCAGCACTGGCCCTGCAGTCGTCATCTGATGGGGCAGGATCCTTTTAATCCCTGTGGGACAGAAAGCAGACGGAGGCAGTTCCACAGGCTGCTGCCAGCAGGGCTGGGGGAGGTCCCAGGCTTCGGGGAGGGGCTTTGCTTGGGGCTGCTAAGAAAGGAGAACCAGCTTGCTGTGCAAGGTCTGGGACAGGGCTGCTGTCCTGGCCAGGCTCCTTCAGCTCACTGGGTTTGGACCAGGACCCTGCCCAGGAGCAAGCTTCTGACACATCCAACCCCAGACAGGGACATCCCAGTGCCTGTGGGTACAGGCAAACCGTGCCTCAGCCCATCTCTGGAGCACATGGAAGCTGCGTTGGCGCAGAAGACACGCTAGTTGTAGAAGGGTTTTTCTCCAAATGATTCCCTGGGCTGAGCCCATT